CCAGTGGCTGGCCGAATATGACGGAGATGAGGACGCAGAGGGCTCCAACACCGTGCCCCGACATTTACCATGGCTGGGCTGCCACATTGGGAGCCGTGTTATTGATCCTGCGTCGCCCTGTCACGTCGCTCCGCACTCCGCTTGTGCACCTGAAGCCCTCGTTCCTGCATGTGCTGACTGACTGACGGAGCGTTCGCGGCCACATCAACCCTTGTGTTGCCCATGCGATGCTATTGAATGGTACAGTATTACTCGGTGCACGCCTGAGCAGCACGAAGTACTGCGTGGAGTACGCGCTGCAGGGCAGAATGGTGCAAGACGTACATAATGTAGAATTGAACACCCTCAATTGGGCATCGCCTGCAAATGAAGCTGGTCTCGCAGCAATGGGTCTTGGCGCGCTGGCCTTTATGAGGTACCCCCGTGTCGCGCGTCGTTTGGCTCGCTGGGTGGCCGTTCATCGAACAAGCTCAGGAGGACCGCGGTTTCCGAGTTCCGTGCGGATCTCCACAGAAGCATCCGGCGCGACCTTCCGGCGCCCAACCAGTTGGCAATCCACTTCATGACAGCACCACTGGCCAACAACGTTGCTTCTCTTTTGACGCACCCGAGCGCTGAATCGCATTGGAGCATGGTGTGGCTCCGAAACCGACTATGCTCACACTGACGCACATTGGACTTCTAAACCAGCACCGCCAGTTAGGTCGGGTCTCAGACCCCGAAGGTGGGCGAAAACCTCCCAATTGAAGCGTCATTCATCCGCTTGCTGTCACTGCAGCCATTCAAGCCACAGCGATTTTGGCTCTTTCACGCCGTAGCCGCTATGGCCCGATAATGTCAACAAGCCGCGGTGTTGCCTGGTTGCTTGCAAGGTGACCCTGTGTAGGCCAGACGCCACAGCTGGCGGCATGCGCGCTGCGTGTGGGTAATCCAGACAACACCAGTCCAGGGTACTGTAGAGACGGACAAGTGGTATTATCGACCCGCGAGCCCTTGGACTCAACGCTCCCAGTTCGCCACTCACCAGTCCCAGGGGCTTCAATCTTGGTTGCCAAGCGGTAAGGCCGATGGTGGTTTGATCCGTCTTCGACCAAGCTCGCAATTGCACAGAGCTTGCGCTCGTACGACCGGACCGGAGGCTTGAGGTGGTTGCCCGGGCCGGGAACCCACTCAGAGCGCTACATCTTCGGATCCCTGGTCAGTGGTGGAGTCACCGCCATCCAAGCCTGAGAAGGACGTACGAAGACGCCTTGGTGCTACAGGTGCGGACAGTAGGGCAGAGCTACTTCCAGCTGGCCAGTGGATCGGTGAATATAGGCAATCCAGGGCAGCGGTCGAGGAGTAGCCCATCTATTCCATCGTGCATCGCCAAGGGAGAGCGAGCCTCCTTCAAGACCCGGGTGGCCAGGGGAGAGTCAGTCGAGTCACGCACATCGTATGTAGTCCCGCGGGGCTCGACTTCGGCCAGGCCTTCAAGGATGTCGGCCGCAGCGGCGCCAAAGAACAGAACCGGCGGGGCGAGGGCAGCGCCTTGCCCAGGCGGTGGCGGCGCTTTGCCGGGGGCATGGCGAAGCCGCCTAGGAACGTTCCGCAGACGCCCGCCGGGAGCGTGGTTGTCAGCAACCACAAACAACCGGGTGGAGAGGACCAATGTTGGTCCCAGTCGTTCCGGGGGGCTCGTGCTCTTCTCTGCAGTGCGGCAGCATCGAAGGTGGCGGGCTTGATGGCCGGGTCGGGTGGCGTTGGCGCGTGGATGCGCACACCGGGATGCAGGATGGACTGCAGGCGGGCCCAGCTCCCATGCCATCCTGTCTGCGTTTGCGTCTGCGTCTGCGTCTACGCCTGCGTCTGCGTCTGTGCCTGAGGCTCTACCGGCTCTGGCGGCGGCTCCACTGCGATGGAGGCACGCGCGGTGCATGTGCATGTGCAGGCGCAGGCGCAGGCGTTGTCGCTGATGCTGGTGCTGGTGCTGGTGCTGCATTCATCGCATGAGCCTGGGCCATGGGAACCCGCCCCGGGCAGCGTCAATTGGCCTCGCTGCATGGGCAGGAACGCGGCGGTCCTCTCACTCGGGGCGGGCGGCGGCCGGGCGCGCTGTCTAGCCCACATCCCAAATACCAAGGAAGGGAGGCACTTTAGCCTGCAGCCGCCTCGCTGCGGCGCTGGGCCGGGCCCCTCGGCACTCTGCCGGCAGGAAGCGTCACGTCGCGCGGCGGCCTGCGGCCATCCGAGCGGCTGGGCTCGCAGACGGGACCTTCTCGTCGGTGCCAAGGTCCTCCCGGCCTGGGTGCCCTGCGCCTCACCACCTCAGTGCAGGCACTCGTACTCAGCAAGCTCAGGTGGGTACGTAGCTCACTAAGGAGGACACCTAAGCTACCCCTTTGGTGGGCGTCAAGGTTCATGTTCCCTGGCGGGCTTCCCTTGCGGGTGGGCACCCCATTCCATTGTGGGCTCCCTGCCCAGGTGAGCCCCTGGCACTGGGAGCATCCATCTACTGATGGCGCCTCGCAGGTGCTCCCTTCACCTCCCGTCGTTCTGCACCCCCTGTCTTGGCTGCATCCCCATCTCTCCCCACCCACCCAACCCAACCTTGCCAACCTCGCGTGCAGGCCCTGCCGCCCGGGTCCGTGTGGTGGAGTCGTTGACCTGAGGTGCAGCATCAGAGTTCATCATCGTCGCGAGCATCGGGTGCGCGCGGGCGGGCCGCGAAAGCCAGCCAGGCAGAATGACGCGGCATTGGGCGAACAGAACTCCCCTCAGGGACAGGGCGTTCCTCCCGAAGAGGACACATCAAGCCCTTGCACGTCGAGAGGGGTCCGGACTGGGTTTTCGGAGGGGCGTGGGGGCAATATATGGACGGATGGCTGGATGGATGGATGGTCGGCCCTTGGGCAGATTGGAACCTCTCTTGACTGAGATGCTGCAGGCGCAGCGCCGCTGGATGGGATGGTTGACCCGGCCAGAGAAAAAAAGCCATCAGTCACTCGCGAGCCCACGGCAACACGCCCACCCCATCCCGCCACCCGCTCGGACGATCAGACCAGGGCCGACTGACACAAGCATTGGTCGGTACTCGAGCGTGTTACTGCACTGTGCAATGTTATCACGCCGTCCTCGCAGAGCACGGAGGAGAGCGAGTGCCTGCCTGCCTGCCTGCCTGCCTGCCTGCCTGTAGGTTAGCAGCAGTCCGCAGGAACTGGCTAACTCCCAAGTTGGCGTGTGCCTCCAACATGGTCAGGGACTCAGGGTCACGTCCAGGACGGGAAGACGTCTGGCTGTTGGCTGTCTTTCTCGTCGCCCCAAGGAAGGGTAGGGAGTCTTGGCTGCTCCGCAGAGACTTGTATTTGCATGGCCGCCATCCCGTCGGCGTCGTGTGTGGCATGGCACGGGTGCTGCTGCGTGCTTCGTTCGAATGGGGTCGATGATGCCCAATTCCTCGGGGATCCTCGTCGTGGTATATTACCTTACCTTTGCATCTACCTAATCGACGGCGGCGGCGCCAGGCAAATGGAAGCTGGCCGCCGGCAAGGTCACCGCCCACGGCACCCCTAATCGTCAATTACGACAGACGCCCGACCAACGACACCCACCTCTGTGGCCGGGGCTGCACACCCGAGTGTAGGTTCAAGGTTGATGTACAAACAGTACAGTACAGTACTGTACCTTGCGTACCTCACGGAGTACAGGCGAGGTACTGCAGCGCGTGCCTTCCTTGCCCGTGGCCGGACCGCGCCAACACCGACGAGTACCTGCCCCGTACTCCGTGGAGTGCTCCGCGCCGTGCCTTGCTTGCCTCGAGTACAAAGCCAGGGTACTTCCGTACATTGCCCCTCGACCTGGCCACCACCCAGACCCGCAAAAAAGACAACGACAAGACAACAGCGTCACCCTTCCCCTTGTCCGTGCTCCAGCAAGCCCGCTTGTCCTCGACCGGTGCTGTCTCGCCGTTCTCTCCTCCTGTCCCGGATCTCCCTCCTCCTCCTCCTCCTCCTCTCTCTTTCTCGCGCGCGCGCCTCGATACCATACCCTCTCTTTTCTACAATTGCACTCACTTTCCCCATCCGTCGGGGCTTTGCGTTTTTCGGCCCAGAATAGCCGTCGACGATACTGTGCGCCATTGCCAGAGAGCTTGCTCTGTTGTTGCGGCGCCAAACACCGAACGCTCTTTATACTTTCCCGCCCCTGCCTGCTCGGCCTGCCCTGCCTTCTCGCCTCGCCTCACCTCGTCTTACCGGCCCCGTCTGGCTGTGCCCCTTGACCTGAACGCAGTCGCAGCGTTCTCGCCCTTCGACCCCGGCATCGAGCTTGGAAACCGACAAGCAGCTCCCCCACAATCCTGGCCTGCCGCTTTCTCCGCATCGCCTCGTCCGCCTTTCGTAACAACTGCTTCGTCGCCCGCGTTCGACTCCGCCTGGCCTCGAACCTCGAAGCGCCTGCGTGTAAGTCAATCACCTTGCGTGCTTTGATCCTGCGGCTCAGCTGCAGCCCCCCCACCAGCAGTTTGCCCTTGCTTCAGGTCCTGCTGTCATGTCGTCCACGCTCTCAGCAGTTCTCTTGTACTTAGTTCACCCTGCATTCCTCGCCACGCCCGCCCCGTCCCCCTCTGGCCTGCATTCCAGACACGGGTCATTGGCTCTTGCCACAACATCCAGGTCGCGCTCCGGCCTTGCTAACATCCAATCTCGCCTCCAGACACACGAGCGTCGCGTACATCTCACAACTGCTGGTTGCGCCCACCTGCGTTGACCTGCGCCTCGGTGGTCGCGGCCGTCGTTGTCACATCCCTGGGTCCTCGCCAGCACCAGCATACCCCCCCTCAAAAAGAACGAACTGTCACGGAACCCCCCTGGGGCTCCTCCACTGCGCTCTTTGGATAACCAAAGCACTTACTTTGGAACCAGGGCGCGGCTGGCCGTCGCTCTGGGACGGGCCGTCGACGCTAGACCGCGAGGCCTCGACCAGATGATCTTGACACTCGTCTCTACCTTCCCACAGGCGCAATGCTGAGCGACCAACCGTCGCGAACTGCTTTACACGTGGCCCCGCTGGAGATACCCGCGTCGCAGCCACAGGACGGTGCCAATGGCTTGTGCCATCAAGAACATCAGACGAATCTCTACTCACAGACCCCTATGACTCCGCCGGAAACACCCAACGGCTCCCAGGAGGACCTGACGCCGGAGCCTCTCGCCCCGCCCGTCTTTCACAATTTCCTTAGGGCCTTCTACCCGTTTCACCCCGGCTACGCCTTGTCCGACTCGAGCGTCACGCTGCCACTGGACGAAGGCGATGTCGTACTTATACACTCTGTACACACCAATGGTTGGGCGGACGGTACTCTTTTGGCAACCGGCGCCAGGGGCTGGCTGCCAACTAACTACTGCGATGCCTACGAGCCCGAGGATATGCGGAGCCTTCTGAAGGCGCTTCTCAACTTTTGGGACCTCCTACGTAGCGCATCAGTAAACAATGAGATCTTCAGGAACCAAGAATTTATGAAGGGCGTCATAGCTGGAGTTCGGTTTCTCTTGGTAGGCTTGCGCTATCTTCTCCCCCACAAGGGCTCATTGTCTTTGCTAATGACAATGTGCTCAGGAACGCACAAACTGCTTAAACCGAGAATCGACCATCATTCAGCGCAGTGACAGTTTAAGGAGATGTCGCAAATCATTGCTCTCAGAACTCTCATCATTGGTCAAGACAGCGAAGAAAACGCAGGAGTGCCAAAAGGGGACACTCCACCCACCGCAGGATGTCAACGACATCATTGACGAGATGATACTCAAGGCATTCAAGATTGTCACCAAAGGCGTCCGGTTTCTCGATGTTCTCGAGGACGAACGGAGGGCTCGCGCACCAGCAGCTGTCACTGTCATGGCCACTGTCGCCGAGGAATCATACATTCCACCTACACCCCCTGCGGAGCGCTTGGCTTTCGACGATCAAAGTTTGAACAATGGCAGCGAGACGGCTTCCCGCGGAACGGCCGACAGTGTGGTTGGCAGCAGCGCCACTTCGGAACCCAGCGTTGCATCACTCAATCCATGGAACAGGCGCATGTCGTCTCTGGGCGGATCTCAAGGCACGGCGGCACAGAATCGATGGTCTCAAGGAAGTCTCCAACAAGTCAACCGTTTGTCCACAAGTATGGCGCACAGAGTCTCGCTGGCCGGCCCATCCCCGTTGTCGAGGCCTCAACATTTGGTATCGGAGCGCCTCAACCGCAGCCATGACAAATTCCTCTCGCACCTCGGATCTTTCATTGGGCGACTGCACTTGCAGTCACACTCGCAACCGGAACTGGCACTCGCGATCAAGCAATCTGCCACATCGGGCGGTGAATTACTGGCAGTCATCGACGGTGTCTGCGAGTACAACAGCTCTAGTGCCGCGGCGCTCGCTATTGTCCGAGATGCCATGTTTGAGCGCATTCAGATCTTGGTCCACTCTGCCAGAGATATTTTGGCCAATGCCGCTACTGAAGGGGCCGACATAATCCTGCCACAAGACAACGGGGTTTTGCTCATGGCAGCCACTGGTTGCGTGAAAGCCGCAGGAGAATGCGTCGCCAAGGCCAAGGCCGCCATTGAGAGGGCGGGGGACTTCGAGTTCGAGCTGGAAGAGAACACGCTCGGGATAGACCTGAGCATCTTGGACATTGTCGTGGACGAGCGGGCGAGAACGCCCTCGGTAACGGATCGATCGGACCATATGGGCAGCGTTGCAGAATCGTTCCAGACCCCCGAATCGACTGTTCAGCCTCAAAAGCGGCCGATCGCACCCGCCGTCGACAAGCCGCTTCCCCAAGTACCCAGAATCACCATCCCCGCAGACTCGCACAGTCGTCAAAGCAACTCCCCAGTGTCCTCTCGACCCCCGTCCCTCAACGAGGACAATGCTTCTAGCGTCGCGTCGTCTGTTTCGTCTATTCGCCCTGTTCTCCCGCCCCTCCCTGAGGTTTCCACAACACCGCAGCCTCTGGATCGCGATGGTTCCGACACGACAACAATCGAGTCGGACGCCCATACCTCGAGGTTCGACGCCTTGGCGGCCTCCAGCGCGGGCAGCAGTACCACTTACCTCAGCCGGGACTCTGAAACGAGCATGATGTCGCAGACGTCGACGCGAGCGACGACGCCGGATCACACCTTGGTGCCTCGCAGCCAGCCCTCGATGTCGGAGCTGAGTACGGCCGGCAGCTTCTCCCAGGCCGAAGAGGCGGATGACGTCGAAACAAGACTTATGGAGAGGACATACGCTCACGAGCTCATGTTCAATAAGGAAGGTCAAGTCACTGGCGGATCGCTCCAGGCTCTGGTCGAACGTCTCACCACTCACGAGTCGACTCCAGACGCGGCTTTTGTCTCGACTTTCTACCTCACATTCCGACTGTTTTGCTCACCGGTCAGGTTGACGGAAGCGCTCATCGAACGTTTCGATTACGTTGGAGAATCGCCTCACATGTCGGGCCCCGTGCGTTTGAGGGTATACAATGCTTTCAAAGGCTGGCTGGAATCCCACTGGAAGGAGCAGACTGATCGAGACGCACTACAGCTCATGATTCCCTTTGCGGAAGGAAAGCTGGCTTCGGTTCTGCCATCAGCGGGACGCCGCCTGTCCGAGCTGGCCAAGCGTGTCTCCGGAGAAGGGTCTCTGGTGCCGCGGCTTGTCTCGTCAATGGGAAAGACGAGCACGTCCATTGCTCAATTTGTCCCGGCTGATAGCCCCGTGCCGCAGCCTATCATTTCAAAAAGCCAGCAGAATTTGCTTACGTCCTTCAAAATTGGCAGTGGGATGCCAACCATCCTCGACTTTGACCCTCTCGAGCTGGCACGACAGATCACTCTGAGGCAGATGGGCATTTTCTGCTCCATCCAACCGGAAGAGCTGCTTGCATCGCAGTGGATGAAGAACGGTGGTGTAGATGCACCACACGTCAAGGCTATGTCAGCGCTGTCGACGGACTTGTCGAATCTGGTGGCAGAGACCATCCTTCAGTACACCGAGATCAAGAAGCGAGCCGCTGCCATCAAGCAGTGGATCAAGATCGCCCATAAATGCCACGAACTGCACAACTACGACGGGCTCATGGCCATAATTTGCAGCCTGAACAGCAGCACGATCAGCCGCCTTCGCAAAACCTGGGACGCGATTTCTGCAAAGCGAAAGGAGGTGTTACGCGCACTGCAGGAGATCGTGGAACCATCTCAGAACAACAAAGTTCTGCGGACGCGACTACACGATCACGTACCTCCTTGCCTGCCCTTCCTCGGCATGTACCTCACGGATCTCACCTTTGTGGACATTGGCAACCCCGCGACGAAGCAGATGTCCCTGGGCACCCAGTCGGAAGAGGACAGCACGGGCGGCTTGACGGTTGTCAACTTTGACAAGCACAGTCGCACTGCCAAAATCATTGGCGAGCTGCAACGTTTCCAAATCCCGTATCGGCTGGTGGAAGTGTCTGACATGCAGGACTGGCTGGCCGCTCAGGTGCGGCGTGTGCGCGAAGGTGACCAAGGCAACGTCCAGGTCACTTACTATCGCAAGAGCCTGCTCCTGGAACCCCGCGAGAGCGCTTCGCGACGCGAAGCCGAGCCGCCTACACCTGTTTCAACTGGTGTTGGCAGCTCTCGCACCGACTTGTTTGGCTGGATGTCCCGCGACCGAAGCGGACAAACCGCTACACCAGCACCCGTATAGCCTGAATAGGTGCTATCTTGCCATACCCAACAACCCCTTGGCTCTTTCTGCGATTGACTATCACCTCTCGACGCTGGATACAACCTCATCTAGCCTCACCTTACCTTTCTTTGGTGCACATATTCATAATCGGTACCTACCTTCGATTTGATACCCGGATTGTTATTCTCTCCCTTCATTTTCTTACACTGCGATGTGTTGTCACGCCGAGGCATTCTGGGCCTCATTAGTACATGGCGAGAAGCCAAATGACATGGGAACGAATCGGCGTTGGCCCTCGGATATAGGGTCTGTATATGGGTTGCTCAAAAATGACGGACGCGCAAGCACGCGTACATGCGGGGGGGAATATTCTGCTGTCACGAACCGACTTGAGATAAAGTTATTCTTATACCCAGGGCAGCACATGAGCTGCTCGACAGCGTTCGGCTTTGGAAGCGAGTCTATTTAGATGTTGGGGGTCCCGCACGTCTCGGAACGGCCCGGTCGGCATCGTGATACAAAAACAATTTCATTCACGGGGTTGGTCACATGCTGGATTTCTTCATGTCTTCAGGTTATTGGCTGGGATTGACGTATGGCGCTGTCAATTTTACACAAGCAGCCGGGTGAAAGCAAGGAGCGAACTTGGACCGCGAGTAACCACGACGAGCGTTTTGCTGCGACAGAGCAAGTCTAGACTTAGCACAAAGACAACAGGAAGAGTCTACGATGAACCAAGTGTTCTTTTTGAGTAGCGCGTGAATGACCGCTCACAATGCTCTTACCGGGAGCGGCGATCGAGGCCGGAGGCGTCTGGCCAGATTACTCGCCAGGGGATCGAGAAGGGATATCGAGTACTTAGCAGAGCAGGCACACCACGCCGGAGCCTCGGGGGTAGATCTCAATCGCTCCGGCGACTACATAGAACAAGAACGTGGTATCAGACCCCTGGGAGGGAGTAACATTAAACTTCTTATGCCTTGCAGTAGCGGCTACCCGCCCGAACCTGCAGCACTTAGGGAGGGGTGGTCAGCGGCTCAAACCGACCACACGGCAGAAGCCGGCAGACGGGCGGAGTCAGACCAGGGGGGGAGGGGTTGGGAGAGGCGGGAAGGGAGCGACGTGTTGACGATGTGGGCGTGCCTGTGTGCGCAGACGAAGGGGATGATGGTGTCGTGGACGGGCCAAGATTGGCCAACTCAGCAGAGAGAGGGGGGACGTTCCAACCACGACCACCCCTGGTCGTCGTGTTCTCCACCGGGCGACAGCCGATCCGAAGGGACAATTTTAACGTGTGATCGTTAAGGCTTGGGCAAAACTACTCGTTGGTGACGGTTCGGACGCTGCACTGTTGGTTAGAGAGGGGCGGGGCGTGGAAGTGCAGTCGACAGAGGCGACTTGGCGGCGATTCTTGCGTGGTGGATGCTGCGTCGAGGAGTTGTTGACTCGTCGCGACAAGAGGGCCGACATGCTGTGCTCGCTGGTCGGCTACGAAGTATATGGTGTCCTGGTACTTTTGTTGTACGAACAATGGAGCAAAGGCCGGACACGTTGAAGCTGTGCATGCGACCCAAGGCTGCGGGTCGTGTAACCAAGTCTTGACGATCGCTTACTGATAGACAAGGGCAAGTCCTCCGATAACGAACGAGTCTCAGACTCAGCCTGTGCATTCCTATGCAGCAATCTCACGGCAATACCAATCGAAGCCATCGAGAAGCCGGGTCCTTGCTACCGTCGACCCGACTGCCACCAATTCGGCACGAATGACTGACGTGGTGGCGCAAATAAGGTACAGCCTTGGACCTTCGCGCATGCACCTGGCACGAGGGTGCGCTATTACGAGTGGCTCAGTGCAGATCGTACCATCGCTCTTTTGGTTCAGCAGGCGAATGGATGCAGCACGTGAGCGACGTTCAGGCGTGCGATTGCAAGCTGAGGTGATTGCTGATCTGACGGGATGTAACCTGTCACTGTCACGGATGTCAAATATTCGTTGCCCCAGACTTACAAGCCAAGCCATATGCTGTGGAACAGCGGCGGTGGAACGAGCAAGTTTGACTGGGTACCATATCTAGGCAACAAATGTTCGGATGGAGGTGGGTTTGGTGGATCGCGAGGGGAAGACGCTTGGGGTTGCGGGGAGATGGAGAACTGGCACATGGCAGCTGGTTGGATGGAGCCCATGGGAGAACAGAAGTGTCATGAAGGCATGACATGGCAAAAGATTTGAAGATGTCGCAAAGACCGAGGAGACGCGGAGGAGTGTTGCATCGTTCCACCTCGTGTTTAGATGCAGCCGCATCGATGTCTCTGGACGCCGCCCGCAACTGTCCATCGTTGACCAGCTCATGGAAGGCGAACGGGGCCGAGAGCTTGTCGGTACCTTGGCAAGCCCATGAAGGGGCTAGAATCAGGCGTGGAGAAAGCGATTCCTCTGACAAGCTGCACATTGTGACCCAGACTCGCCTGAAGACTGGGAACGAGGCTTAAGACTAGCGGTTTGATCAGGCAAGCTAGTTTGTGGCTGCCGTCTGGAGAGCAGCGGTTTTGGAGCGATAACGAGGGCCCGCCGTAAAACTGATCATCAGTGAAGATGATTCGAAGTCAAGCTTGGGAACGAATATTCGACGTTACGTTACATGGGGCTTTCGGGGTTGTTGGATCATGGATGTGGCTTGCAGACTGCGGGCGGCGGCAGGTGGGGCCATCAAGGGCGCCCAACCAGGGCCAGTCCCCGACTCGGAAGGGGAAATCTGGGCCGCCAGGCTGGAGACACAAGCATGCATGCACGCAAGCATGCCAGGCAGGTAGGCTGGTGCTCGTCTTCTTGGTTGGCGGATGGATGGTTGGGGTGAGGTCAGCTGATCGAGCGGGCTGATGGTGACGATTTCGAGAGGCGCTGAGCGACAGGGAAGATGCAGAAGAAAAGAAGCGTGGCGAGTGGATGCTCCAGAACGAAACGAGAACAGGGGCTGTGGCGGACGGCAAGATTGGCAAGAGCCGAGGTGATGCGCAGCTGCCCGTGACTCGTAGGCCTCGTCTCGCCTCGCCTCGACTCGCTTCTCTGGAGGCAAGCGCGATCGATTGCACTGCCGCTGTCATTTGAAGCTTGCGGCACACGTGAAAGCACCCTGTACCATGCACAGAACCACGTAACTTGATGTGTATGCAAGCAAGTGCACAGCCAAGCTTGACAGGTTGACAACCATCACGATGCTGTCGATGCTGGCCCGACCGGCTGAGGAATCCAAAAACGCAGCACGCCGACGCGAGCTGGGTGCCTGCAGGCTTGGCAAGTCACGTTCACTTCTTCTCCCCATACTTACCCGTCAGATGGGCGCTTCTGGAGGCGTGCAGCCGCCGGTTCGACCACGCCCCCATGTCTCGGCCGTGTCCTGATTCCCACGCGACGCAGGCTTCACCTCCGGACGAAAATAAGCATTGCAGCACTCGCTGTGCCGGCCTCAACGGCCGGAGCGCGTATGCACACGATCATCCGGCCGTCGCCAAGCTGACGACCAACAGGCGGCGAGCTCGTCGACGGCGACAGCGACGGTGACAGACCCATGGCCGGTGCTAATCCTGCCTGGCATGTCAGTCAGGTTGTTGGCGGCCGCCCTCGTTGAGCCAAGCCGCGGGCGCTGGTTCCACTGCAGCCACCTCCGCTCGCGACCCCATGAGTGGGCGCACCAGTCTGCTCTACCTCTCTCTCTGTCAGTCTCTCCCTCTCCTGCTGGTGGTGGGTGGTTCTGGCTCACCGCGGCGACCAATTGCTGGCCTCTGCGGAGCAGGAGGCGCTCTCGTTCAGCGACAGGGGCCCAATCAACTGGCGAAGGATTCGGTCCTTTGACGCCCATGCAGCCTGACTGCCTGCCGCAGAGATGGGCAGAGATAAAGTGCACGGTACTTTGCCGGGATGCTGCACTAGCTGGTCACCACTTCGAAAAACGTGCTATCATTTTCGAGGAATTGTCGGTACCCAACGCGCGTCATCGTGGCTCTATTTTCATTCCCTTGCGCTTCTCTTTCCTATGCCTTCTTTGCCCCAGTATCAGCTGTCGAGCTGCCCCATCTGCAGGGCCGATATGGGGCCGTTGCCTTCCGCCTGGGCGCGAGGGAGGGGACTTGGGGGAGACCCGAGGGGCTTGAAGGTTCTGGCGAACCGCTGCTAGGGATCGGCCCCAGGGCCGGGCTGGGACCTGGGGCCCCCAAAAGTGCTTCCTGTTGTGGATGTGGATGCCGAATTAAAGAAGTACGGGACCCTGCGAGTCGTAGCTCGGGCCCTAGGTGGTCGGGCCCGCCGCCGGTGCTTCGTCCTTGTATTTGCATTTCGTAAACCGTACTCTGTACGAGGGGCGAGGCGAGCAAGCGAGCAGCTGACGCTCCACGCAGCCCTACAACAGGATGATGATCGCGCCTGACGAAGGGGCAACCGAGCTTCGATGCACGTTGGGCTCAAACAGAGCCAGAGACAGATCTCGGTGCCGGGTTCGCGCCGTTCAAATCATGCCAGCGCTCATGTAGGTACGCGGCGCCCGTGCCTCGATCGGTGAGTGATGCGCGGCAGTCCTACGAGTACAAACGTCGTATTATGTACAGCAGGGAACAGAAGAGAAGCTCGGGGCGCCGCGCCAGGGCCACCCCTCGAATTTCCGGATCGGGACGACGGGGCCCCACGACGGCTCGCGAGCCCACTGACTCCAGTCGTCGAACCCTGAGTCCAGTGTGTCTTTTTCTCTGGTGTCTCTCGCTCGCTCACTCACACGCGCAGTATGTATGCCAGGTTGCCGGGCTGCCAGGCCATGCCATGCCAGCGGCTTTCGCTCGTCCAGCACAGCAGCTGGAGCAGGGTTCGTTCGCCTGCATCGAGCAAGCACCGAGTGCGCCTGTCCCCCTGTGCCGAGACGACGGCCACTGCCACAGCATCGACGTCCCTCGTATGCCGTGCGGACACGAGGTGATGTTGACACTGCCCATCTCACGCAAACACACAATTTTTTTTTTTTTTGTTTCTTTTTCCCAGCTGACAAGTGCTCGTTTGATCGTGTACCGTATGTACCATACTCCGTCGGTGAGTACAGCAGAGACCGCACCAGAAATGGACGAACAGTGCCACATGTAACCCGAGCCCCTTGCTGGCCCGACGCCGCGTCGCCTGCTCGGTTGGCCCTCCAGGTCTCGGCATTCTGGTCATCTCTCGAGCCAAGCTTCGCAACTGTCACGTAGCGTGGGCGCGGGTCAGACATGAGCCACGAGCCATGAGCCAGGCCAGCCCTGGAGCTGGGCTGGGCTGGGCTGGGCTGGGCGCTGCAAGCCACTTGTGCATGTTGCGACCACTCGCTCCTACCTATGTGCCGCCACCGCGCCCAGCCAACACATGAGCCAAGCAGACCGGCCGTCGTGGGCCCGTACGGCCCGTGTGATGGCCTTTTTCTCTCTCTCTTTCTGCCCCGTCCGATCTCTGTGCAGTGCAAGGATGAGGCGTTCCCTCCCCTGGTGGGCAGCCACGACGAGGCCACAAACCCCAAACGCCTCCGTGCCTCGTCCGTCCGTCCATCCATCCGTCCATCCATCCAATATGGATCCGATCCATGGATCCGACCTCCTGGGGAAGGGGGAGGTCCCACCGTCCCCTGCGCCGCGAAGCATCTGCGAGCCGAGTGACACCGCGGATACTACCCTCCCTCCGTTCGCCGCCCACATCACCTCCCACCGCCGCCGCCGCCGCCGCTGCATCCCGAATCCACGTCCCCACTGGCCCGTCTGCCGCACACCCCCCCCGGCCCAGCAGCACGCCTTGGAGAACCACGCGCGTGCCCAGACGGATCGCCGTCGTCGTGGGCAATTCAAATACACGTTGCGTCCGCCCTCAACACCGTCTCCCTTTCCCCCTCCACTGCCGCAAGTCTCGAGTGAGTTGCAAACAACAACCGTTCGAGGTCCGCCAACACGGTAGAATCGGTCCACCTCGCCCGCTTCTTCGACCTTCTTGGCCCACACCCATCTCGCCCAAACGTTCTAATTCGAATACATCATCATGTCCGCCGACGAGGCCAAGGCGGCCCAGGACGTCCCCCTCGACGACATGGCCCACAAGGAGCCTCATGAGGTTCAGTACGTCGACCGTCCGGCTGGCTGGATCTACAAGAACTTCCGCATCTTCGGCAGCGACCTCTGGTACGCCTCGCCCAAGATCCAGCTGCTCATGATCTCCATCGTCTGCTTCCTCTGCCCCGGCATGTACAACTCCCTCACTGGCCTCGGCGGCGGTGGCCAGGTCGATCCCACCGCTCAGGACCACGCCGGTGTCGCCCTCTACAGCACCTTTGCCGTCGTCGGCTTCTTCGCTGGAACCTTTGCCAACCGTCTCGGTCTCCGCCCGACCCTCGCCATCGGTGGCCTGGGCTACTGCATTTACGCCGCGTCCTTCCTCAGCTACTCGCACACCGAGAATGTCGGCTTCGTCATCTTCGCCGGCGCCTTCCTCGGTGTCTGCGCGGGTCTGCTCTGGACTGCCCAGGGAGCCATCATGATGTCGTACCCGCCCGAGAACAGCAAGGGCCGCTACATTTCGTGGTTCTGGATCATCTTCAACCTGGGCGCCGTCATTGGCTCCCTCATCCCGCTCGCCCAGAACGTCAACAAGAAGAAGGGAGCAGTCACTGACGGCACCTACATCGCCTTCATCATTCTCATGGTCATCGGCGCCGGCCTGTCCCTTTGCCTCGTCGAGGCTAACAAGGTCATCCGCGAGGACAACACCAAGGTCATCCTCATGAAGAACCCGTCGTGGAACAGCGAGATCCGCGGCCTCTGGGACACTCTCTTCCAGGAGCCCTGGATCCTGCTGCTGTTCCCCATGTTCTTCTCCTCCAACATCTTCTACACCTACCAGAACAACGACATGAACGCGGCGCACTTCAACACCCGCACCCGCACCCTCAACAACCTGCTCTACTGGCTTGCGCAGATCGTCGGTGCTGTTATTAACGGCTACTGCCTCGACATCCACTCCGTCCGCCGCAGTGTCCGGGCCAAGATCTCCTTCGTTGTCCTCTTCTCCCTGACCATGATCATCTGGGGTCTCGGCTGGTACTGGCAGAAGATGCAGGTCAGCCGTGAGGAGGCTTCTGACCCCAACTACGACGGCCTCGTCGACTGGACCGATGGTGGCCGCCTCTTCATTGGCCCCATGTTCCTGTACTTCTTCTACGGCTTTTTCGATGCTATCTGGCAAACCAACATCTACTGGTACGTATCCCCAAGGGCTCTTGAGTCGCCAATTCGAGGCCACTCAGCAACTCCAGTTTGGTGCAAGATTTCTGACAATTCATCCCTAGGTACATGGGTGCCCTTTCCAACTCTGGTCGCAAGGCGGCCAACCTTGCTGGCTTCTACAAGGGAATCCAGAGCGCCGGCGCTGCCATCTTCTGGCGCCTCGATGGCCTCAAGAAGCCTTACAACACCATCTTCGGCGCCACCTGGGGCTGCCTGGCCGCGTCCCTCGTCTTCGCCGCTCCCGTCATCTGGCTTAAGATCAAGGACTCCGTCTCCATCGAGGAGGATCTCAAGTTCAGTGACGAGACAGTTCAGGACGTCATCGTTACTGGCGAGGAGAAGAAGACTGTTGTGTAAAGCTGAGTCTGGGCGACAGACATGAGCAGCACTGGCTGGCGGATCTGGTGTCAGAACTCTGGCTGGAAAGTGGGCTTTTCATTGAGCTACAAATACCCTATCTTAAGTTAATAATGTGAGACTTCAACTTGCTGTCTATATTGCGCCCTCTCCAGGCTGGAGCAGTGGCATTGCTCCATTGCGCCGAATCAGCCTTGCCTTGCTCAGAAGCCCTTCTACCGTCCAGATGCTGCACAAGACGGCTTAACTCGACGTAATCAGACGCAGACAGGCAGTCCAACGCTCGTCTGATGTTTCGAATGCTGATGCTCGTGATACGCCTTCGACTACGGCCCTAGCCCAGATGGTATCGAAAATCCAAAGAAGCTTTCTCTCCCGCTATGCCAGATCATTCATGTTTTGCCAACAGGGTTCGCGCTCCCTTGTCAAGGAGCAGATTTGCAACCGAGATGCCAAGTTGCTCCGCATCGTCATCACACTCCACAGTGCCAGAGCTCTCGGCAAAGACCTCCGACGTTCCATCTACATGAAGAACGGTGGCTCGCAGGCGAAGGCTGCCGCCCTCGCGGCCCTGTTGTGTTTTTGTCGGCTCACTCTCTTTGAAGGGCTCGAGCGAAGACCAGACTCCAATTGGAGACGAGCACCCTCCTTGCAGAGTTCGAAGCATCGCCCTCTCGGCCATGCCGACCCACCTGGAGGACTTATGGTCGGCGTGACGGACAAGCTGAAGCAGGTCTTGACGATCTGCGCTAATCTCGAGGCCGAGCGCGCCCTGCCCAACTGCATATGGGAATACTCTAGGATCCAGGCGCTGTGTGATCCGATGGCCAAGCCCCAGGCGTACCAACCCAGCTGTGGCCAATAGAATACACGAAAAGGGTGAAGAAAGGGCGTCAAGCTTGGCAAGTCGGGTATCTCTAGATTCCGGACAGTTGTTTAGTCCAGCTGGCCCTAATTGATACGCCGGGGAGTAGCAGCAGGAAAAGTTGAAGCGATACGTACAAGTTGCCGCGACATTCCGCCACCTCTAAATGGGGCCAGTTTCGCCGAATCAAAGCCCTTCTTCGAGAAGAGCTCGATCCAACTACGGAGCCAGGAGGTAACTGATCGATGGACGTGAACTTGGAGTCGGATCTCATTATGACGGCATCGGAGGGGTCCTCGCGCTGCGGGATAGCCCCCAGGAGACAATTTGGCGGCAGGGTTGTCGGCATGTCCTTTAGGCAATGCACGAGGACTTGGAGCTTGCCGGCCAGCATGTCGGCCTCCAGGCCATTCGTCCACAGACTTTTGCCGATGTCTGATCCACCCGTCTGTTTCGAGAGGAGTGCAAAGGGCGAGTCCTTATCCGCATCGCCGGCAACACTGCGCGTGGCGATGTCAATGGCGAGGGACGGGCCGACGCTTTCGCCAAGCTTGGCTGCGATGTTCCGAGCTTGAACAAGTGCGAGCTCTGATTTGCGGCAGCCAAGGACGACCGTGAGAGGATGCTGAGCCGAGGCGTCTTGTGTCTGCGCCGGCGGCTCAGAGCTGCTCACCGTGAGGCTCATGTTGGCGGATTGTGAGTTCAATGGTGCTGCTTGCGATTTTCCAGCAGGAAGGAAGACGAGTTTCTCACGACATTGTGCTGATGCTGCTGAAGTTGGCGGCGCGCACGTGATAGTAGCGGCTTTGTGGATGAGTCGCCGCTCATTATTACGGGTACGAATACGGGTACTACCGAGTGAAAGGACGAGGCATGGACGGCTAGGCTGGTCGCGGCGCGGCTCGGCGGGACGGGATTGACGACCGCTTGAGTTGAGAGTTGACCCCACAAATTCACAATTACGGAGTACAGGCTAAGGTTGGCTTTCAACAGCCGCCAAGATGTGGACAGTCATGGAGAAGTGCATCTACCGGTACATAATATGGGCAATGACGACCACGGAAACCGCGAGTTTGCAAATACGCTTTTGAGATTTCCTTGGATTTGGCAATCAACACGATGGTGCGAAACAGTGCCAGTACAACTGGATTGAAACCCACCCTCCCCCTGCTTAGATCTCTTCCACGAGACGACAAAAGTAGACTGTCACTTCTTGAAAGCGGCCAGCCCTCTCTTGAACTCATCATCAAGCTGCTCAACAAGGGCCTGCGATTCATGCCGCCGACCTTCGCTTGCTTTTGGGCCAAACAAACCGCCCAAGTGAGACGCCGCCTGGTGCATATTCTTAAAGTATTGGAGGGCAATGCGCTTGCCGAGCAGAGGAATTCCGTCCAACAGGGGTTTCTTAGACATCGCGGTGTCAATGGCGGCATGGGTCTCTCGAACTAGGCTGTATGCGACGTCGAATCCTTCTTGCTCAAGTTGTTCGTCTTCCTCTGGAGTGAGTCGCTCGTGGAGAGATGCATTCGGATGAGCCCCTGCGGCCTTGAGGGTGTTGACGAGGTCTCCCGACTTTCTCCACAGGGAGATGCCTTTGGCGTAGGTGCCGTCGAATGCGGTCAGGCTCTCGTGGTAGGCAATCGTGCTCTCCATGAGATGCTTCAGGGTCAAGACAGTGTGGAGATCCGCGAAGACGGTGGTCGCGACCGCGACGGCGCCAAGTAGTCCGATCTTCATGTTGTCTGCGAGAACGACCGTGATCGCCCAAGTGTCGTCGGTTTGATTCTATTGTGGTGCGAAACTGTGTGGAACTCAGCACTTGCGCCGAGCATACAGGCAGCAGGACGTGGATATGAGGTGTTAGTCGCTCTAGTCTGAGCGGTGCTGTCTCATGGAGTTTTAAGCATATGGCAGGAATTTGCGAATCCCCGGTGGACGTCGAGCTGGAAACGGAGCATTCCCCCGCCTGAGCGAGCACATTCTCCTCGACCAACGCGCCCCTGTACGTAGCTAGGGAGGCGGCGACAAAGCCGAACGGGACGGCACGTTGAGACAACGATCTCAGTCTCACCTTGCTCCATCTCCAATGATGACCCCGGAATATCCAGGGAGTCTCCCCTTCTGGCGCTCTCTTGAGACGGTCATCTGATACAATAACATGTCTTTGTAGAAGCGGGCCTATCCCTCCTCCTCTGGCCAGGCGAGGCGATAGGACCGTTTTGCCATCGGCTATGTGGCCCTCTACAGCGCAAGTGGGAATATTGAAACACGGCCCGATTTCGGATTAGATGTCTCTTCCAAAGATCGCAATGTTGTCTAGAACCCCTGCGAGTAATGGGTGACTCGGCCCTTGAGCACCTTTGGAGCTTTGTTGTCATTCAATTAATAGCATTGACAGATTGATGAAATATACGTACCACTCCGCAGCCGACAACAGAACCGTATCGTTCAGCAATCACATTGTACCAGTCCGTAATCATGCCTCTGCAGCGCGATCCCGCCCCACCGCTTGCCATCATTGGCATGGGGATGAGGCTTCCTGGAGGGATATCAACGGCGGAAGAGTTCTGGAGCCTTCTCATCGGGAAGAAAGACGGAAGATGCCGAGTACCAAGCAGTCGCTACAATGTGGATGCGTTCTACGGCGACAAAACCCACCAGCAGAATATTGCGACCGACAACGGCTACTTCCTAGACGTTGACATCAAAGGTTTTGATACCACATTTTTCGGTGTCAAGCGAACAGAGTTGGATGTGACCGATCCCCAGCTCCGACTACTTCTCGAGGTTGTTTGGGAATGTTTCGAGAGCGCCGGTCAGTCGAATTTCCGCGGCACGAACACGGGTGTCTTCGTGGGCACCTTTGGAGAGGACTGGCACAATATGCTCCACAAAGACAGCCTGATGCGAAGCACCTACCGCGTTCTCAGCGCAGGCGACTATGCTCTCTCAAATATGCTGTCGTGGGAGTACGACTTGAGCGGGCCCAGGTAAGTGTCTACTCGTCCTGTTTCCATGATGACCGCTAACACTCGCAATTAGTATGACACTCCGCACCGCATGTTCGTCGTCTCTTTCGGCGCTTCACCTAGCCTGCCAATCGATTTACAACGGCGACTGCCCCATGGCAATCGTGGCAGGGTCGAGTATCATACTGGACCCCGCGATGACGCTGGACATGTCAGAGGCAGGCGTACTCTCTCCAACCGGCTCCTGCAAGACCTTCGATGCAGCCGCGGATGGCTTCGCGCGCGGAGAGGCTATCAATGCCGTACTGATTAAACCGCTCGACGATGCGATGCGAGATGGTGACCCTGTGAGGGCGGTCATACGTTCAACAGCAGTCAATTCGGATGGGAGAACATCTCATATTGGATCCCCTAGCTCCGATTCACAGGTTACAATGATCCGTCGAGCATATGAACGAGCCGGTATTGAAGATCCGTCTCAGACGCCTTTTATCGAGTGCCACGGTACTGGTACGGTCCGCGGGGATCCAATCGAAGCAGCGGCTGTGGCAAGCGTGTTTGGAGAGCATGGAGCGTATATAGGCTCAGTAGGTCAACCATTCCAAGCAGGCGGCCCGCCGGTATTGACGTATGTAGGTGAAACCCAACCTCGGCCACGGTGAGGGTGCCGCTGCTCTGACGAGCATCATCAAAGCGATCCTAGCGCTGGAAAATGAGACAATCCCGCCGAACATCAACTTCATTACTCCAAACCCGAAGAGTACGGCCCCGGGAGCAGGAAGGCGTTGTAGGAATTCTTACTGACGTGCGACTCATGCAGTACCGTTCCAAGACTACAAGCTGGAGGTGCCCATAGAGCCGGTCCCCTGGCCCAAGAACAGGCCGGCCAGAATCAGCGTCAGCTCATTCGGTATTGGAGGTGCCAATGGACACGTAGGTTTCTCAGCTGTGCACTGAGAGAGAGCCGCCATGTGTATGCCATGCTAACTGCTCAGGTCATACTCGACTCGGCCGCTTCGTTTGCCGTTCACCGCCGTGCCGCTGTGGCCTCTGGAAAGAGCAGTGGAGAGTCGCATGCTCCATTGCAGATATCCGACTCGTCTTCTGACGAGTCTTCTGAGAAAGAATCTCTGTCTGATTCCACATCCATCGAGTCATCCGATGGGTTGCTCAACAATGCTACAGGACGCAGATGTGATGAAACGTTGGGAAAGCAAGACGTTGGTCATACCGGCGAGGCACTTTCTGATTCCCCAGCCAATGATGTCTCCGAGCTTCCCTTCCTATTCCCAATTTCAGCCGGGAGCGAACAGTCGCTAAGCGCCCGCGTGGATGATTTGAAGCGATATCTTGAGGCTCGGCCCGAGTCAATTGGGGACGTGGCTTTCACCCTCGGCACCCGCCGGGAGCACCTGCGGCATCGCACCTTCTGTATTGCAAGGCCTGGGACATCTGTCCCGCTGGACTTTGGCTCATTCGGCAAAGTTTCGGGCACAGCCAGAAAAGATTCTGCTATTGCGTTCGTCTTTACGGGACAAGGAGCCCAATGGCCAGGCATGGGAAAGTCACTCATCGAGAGCTTGTCGGGCCTCTTAGAGGACATGCAGGATATGGACCGAGTGCTCCAGCAACTGAAGCCGGCACCAGAGTGGACTCTGGAAGCGCTTTTACGCGGCACTGATAATGCTCGCAAAGACGCTCTGAACGATGCAGAGCTCGCCCAACCCCTCTGCACTGCGCTTCAGATCGGTCTGGTGAACTTTCTTCGACTGTGCGGCGTGACGCCCGGCGCCGTGATCGGGCACTCGAGTGGAGAAATTGCTGCAGCTTACACCGCTGGGGCGATCACGATGAACGAAGCGATTACGTGCGCCTACCTTCGAGGCCTCGCAGCAAAGAGCCAAAGTCGTGTCGGCGGCATGGCGGCTGTTGGCAAGGGAAGGAAGGCTGTTCTTCCCTTTCTTGTTGATGGCGTCCATATTGCCTGCGAGAATAGTCCGGAAAGTGTGACCATTTCTGGAGACCTGGACGCTCTGGAGAGGAGTCTAAAAGCGATCACGGACGAGGACCCCGAGGCATTCACCCGGAAGCTTGATGTGAACGTCGCCTATCACTCACGTAAGTGCATCCTGTGACTCTAATAGCTAAAATCCGCTAAAGTACTTCAACCAGACCACATGCAAGAGATTGGAGGTATCTACGAAGGCTCTTTGGAGGCTCACTTATCGCCTAAGCATCCGCTTTGCCCATTTTATTCTACCGTGACCGGTGGTCTCGTAACGAACGAGTTTCACTTCGGCGCAGAATACTGGAGGAGCAACCTTGAGTCCCCAGTACTCTTTCATACTGCCATGGATCAATTGTTGGATGACCTCCCCAACGTGACCGCCACACTGGAGATCGGTCCCCATTCTGCTTTGCGGGGACCATTGCGTCAGATCTTGCAGGTGCACAAAACGACACAACCCGTGGATTACATCGCTACTCTGCAAAGGAGCAAGGATTCCGCCATGTCCATACTCAATTCCGTCGGGCAATTATTTGTTCGCGGGTACAATGTGGACTTCGTCGCGATTTGTCCCGACGCATGCGTTCTGACCGATCTACCCTCGTACCCGTGGGACCACCAGCAAGAATTTTGGAGAGAAAGCCAGATGTCGCAGGCATGGAGACAAAGAAAATATGCGCACCACGAGCTGCTCGGAATCCGATGTGCGGAAGCGACAGAACATGAACCGATGTGGCGAAACTTGTTACACCAGTACGATGTTCCCTGGCTGGCTGATCACAAGGTAGGACCCGATGTCGTTTTCCCGGTTGCCGGCTTCATTGCGATGATGGGCGAAGCCATACGCCAATTCACGGACTCAGATGGCTATGTGCTACGTCATTTGATGGTGAAGTCCGCCCTGCTGATGCCCCAGACCGACCCCGTCGAACTCATGACAACTTTAAAACCCCTGAGGTTGACGGGTCTAACCAATTCGTCACGCTGGTATGAGCTTTCTGTATCTGCTTTCAACGGCATAACCTGGGTTGAGAGCTGCATCGCTCGGGGCAGGCCGGCAGAGGGAGGCGGAGGCGAAGACTTGGGGGACCGAACGACAGCGACGACTCTGCCATACCTACGCAAGGTGCCAGAGCGTTACTTCTATGATCGAGTACAAAGCCAAGGTCTCAGATACGGCCCGCGCTTTCAACTTCTGAAAGACATTTCGGCCGACGTCGAAAGTCATGCCGCCGTTGCGACTGTGCGAGATGACGAGAGCGAGTACGAGGCTCCCTATGCGGTTCACCCCACAACGATCGACTGCTGCCTTCAACTGGGCGTGCTTGCCAACTGCCAAGGCATCGCTCGCAAACTCACCGGCTTGGTTCTGCCCGTGGCGATTGAGGATATCTTTGTCCACCCGGGTGGGCCCGACCTCGCTCTGGAAGCCGCCGTGGACCCAAGCGCAAACACGGCCGAGGCGAGAGCTGTCGCGACGGAGAGCAACCGCACAGTGTTGGAGATCAAGAACGGGCGTTTCATGCCCTTCAATGCTGGAGACTCCGAGGCCGACGTCATACACGCATCCAGGGTCCAGTGGCTCCCGGACATTGACTGCCATGATCAGCGCGGGTTGATACGCCGGAACGACTCTAAGCGCGACATTCTCATTGCCAGTGAAAGGCTTGCGGCGGCATGCATACTTCAGTTATTTAAAGTACTACGATCTCTGGATGTGTCACCCTCTGGCCACCTCGCGAAATATGCCGCATGGGTGGAACGAGAGAGAGACCTCATAGCCCGAGGTCGGCGCGACAGTTTAGTACCTGAGTCACAGCGATGGACTTCGATGGACGAGGACTCTCTCCAGGGGGTCTTGGACACTCTGCTGGAAGATGTCCATGCCTTTGGCGACCCCGCTGCATCGGACGTTGCCGTAATGGTGAGACGATTAGCACTCCGGGAAAGAATCGAGCCACTCTTCAAAGAAACGTCGAACCCCTTGGAACTCTTTCTGGAGGACAGCGGGATGAAGTCGTTCTACGATTTCGCTCAGCAGAATGTCGACATCGATCCATTCATCTACTTGTGCGCTCACGCCAATCCAACACTGAAGGTCTTGGAGATTGGTGCTGGGACAGGCTCGGCTTCAGAGGCAGTCTTGCGTTCGCTAACTTCTGAAGGGGGTACCCGAATGTACTCTCAGTATGTATTCACGGACCTTTCTTCGGGATTCTTCGGCCTGGCCCAAGATCGCCTTCGCCAGTGGGGCGCAGTAGACTACAAGGTCCTGGATGTCGAAAAGGACCCCGAAGAACAGGGGTTTGAGCTTGGATCATTTGACCTCATTGTGGCATCTAACGTACGCTATCACCCCCTACAGGCCCAGGATCCACGAGGGGCTTTCGTTTTGTCCCCGTCTGTCTCCATATAGAGTTCAAATCACACTAACTAGCATCATATGTCTAGGTCCTGCATGCAACGCGGTCTTTGCAATGCTCACTGAAGCATGTGCGATCGCTTCTCCGCCCCGGCGGACGCCTATATTTAGAGGAGCTCATAGCCCGTATGTCTACTCCGGTCGAACCATCCGCCAAAAATTCGCTGACACTTTGCGACAGCCATGAATATCCGCCTTGTCAATCTTCTGACTGTGGGTTCATGGTAAAGTTCCCGTTGTTGCTCTATCGCTAACGCACAGTACTTGCAGGGCACTCTTCCTGGCTGGTGGATTGGGCAAGACGATGGCCGCGAAGACGTCCCATTCGTTTCCGTGGCTAGATGGGACGAGGAGCTCCGAAATGCGGGCTTCTCCGGCGTCGATTCCGTAATGATGGATGATGATGCTCCCCACTACATTTGCGGGCACATCATCAGCCATGCGCTGGTGCCAGTCATCGAGAGACATACGGTTCTTTTCTTATACGACAACAGGAAACACGAATTTGCTTGCAGTCTGGCAACCGAATTTGAACGCGAAGGTATCTGTGTACAATGGTCAAGAATCGGCGACCACGAAGAGCACGCCGAGGGTTTGGATGCCATTTCCACTATTGATCTCGAAGGACCATACTTTGATGATATCTCTCAGGAGGACTTTTCCACCTTCATGAACTACCTGTCTCGTCTGAAAGGTGGCTTGCTGTGGCTCACACGCTCGGCACAGCTCGGATGCAAGGATCCTCGCTATGGGATTGTGACTGGGCTTGCGCGGACCATCCGACCCGAGATTGGCGTGGACTTTTGGACGGCGGAGCTGGACAGCCTGGATTCAGCCACCACAGCTTCAGTGGCTGCTATATACCGCAAATTTCATGCACGCCCCGGGCTGGATGCGGAGAGCAAGCTGGACAGCGAGTATGCCGTCAAGGATGGAGTCGTTCACATCGGGCGCTACCACTGGAGCTCGACGGTGAAAGAGCTACAGTCTCAGTCGAGTCCGGATCCGAAGCAACTCATCATCGGCCGGTTTGGCTTGATTGGCTCCATGCACTGGGTCCAGCACCAGCCGAGCGATGTTGGGGATGACGAGGTAGAGATTGAAGTTCGTTGCGTGGGTCTCAACTTCAAGGTACGTCGTTGCCTCTCACGTTGCGCCGTTAAACCTGAGTAGTGCTATTTGCACAGCCAGAAAAGTCCAGTCGCACAGATATTTAGCACTCCTCTTACAATTCCCAGCGCTAACATGTACAACAAGGACATCATGGTTGCCATGGGATTTGTCCCTGAAAGCCAAGACACACTCGGCATAGAGGCCACGGGAGTGATTACCCGCGTGGGCGCAGCTGTCGGCTCCTTAAAAGTCGGGGCTCGCGTTTGCGTTCTTGCCAACGGCCTTTTGGCAACTCGAAAGGTGGTCCCCGCCAGGCTGGTGCTGCCCATACCACACAGCTTGAGCTTTGAAGAAGCTGTCACGTTGCCGGTGGCGTATGTGACTGTCTTACATGCCATCATGAACTTGGGGCAGCTTGCGAGAGGACAAGTGAGAAAGGCCCCTATATATGCTATGAGCGTGGAGATTTCCAAGCTAACGTCCTCTCAAAGTCCATCCTCATCCACTCTGCTGCTGGAGGAGTCGGCCAAGCTGCAATGCATGTCAGCCACATGCTGGGAGCCGAGGTATGTCCCCGAAATGCCGTGATGAGGCATTGCAAGAGCCATTCCTTGCTGACTTGCAATTCTACACCAAAAGATCTATGTCACAGTCGGAACCGAAGAAAAGATACAGTATCTCATCGACAACCACAGCATACCCCGAGAAAGAATATTCAATTCACGCGACACTTCATTCCTTGATGGGATCATGCAGATCACAAATGGGCGGGGCGTTGACATGGTGTTGAACTCCCTCTCGGGAGACTTGCTCCATGCGTCCTGGCAATGCGTTGCCAAGAACGGAAAGATGATGGAGATTGGTAAGAGAGACATTCTGGAACACGGCCACTTGGATCTAGACCTGTTTGGAGGTAACCGATCCTTCCACGGAATCGATCTTCGAGCTCTTTGGTCGGAGATGCCCGAGAATTTGCTCAGGTAAGAATTCATGCTGACACGCGTCGATTGGCTTTGGCGGATGAGCAACTGCTAACCACCTCGAGCACGCAGGCTGCTGGACCAGCTCTCCCGCCTGGGCATGGAGCAGCAGCTGAAGCCGATCCGACCAATCCACACGTTCCCAGTCGAGGAGATTTCTGACGCCTTCCGATTCATGAAGAAAGGCCAGCATATCGGAAAGATTGTCATCCAAATGCCGCGAGACACTGAATCCATCCCAGCCCGTGTGCCTCATGAGCCAGAGTTGCTTTCAAGTACCTCTACCTATCTCCTCATAGGCGGATTGGGTGGCCTAGGGAAAGAGGTGACGAGATGGATGGTGGAAAAGGGCGCCAGGAGTTTCTGCTTCTTGTCACGCTCAGCCGACGACTCTGGAAAGCATGGAGGCTTCTTCCAGGAACTGGAGTCGCAGGGTTGTCGAATAACCACTGTGTCTGGCAGTGTTGCTGAGATGTCTGACACCAAGAGGGCGATAGCCGCCGCCCCAACGCCTATCGTCGGCGTTGTTCAAATGTCGATGGTGCTCAGGGTGGGTTTCAAACTCTCGCGGTCGACCGCAATCACATGGCTGACTCCTTTCGCGAATAGGACCATAGTCTTCTCCAAATGAGCTACGATGACTGGAAAGCGGTGCAGGATCCCAAGGTCAAGGGCACATGGAACCTGCACGAGGCCCTGGCGGGAGTTGCGCTCGACTTTTTTATACTGTTCGGCTCAATTGTTGGCGTTGCCGGACAGCCGGGCCAAGGTAATTACGCCTCTGCCAACAGCTTCTTGGACTCCTTCATGCAGTACCGCCACGGCTTGGGGCTACCCTGCTCAGTCATTGACCTTGGCGGAATGGAGGGCATCGGCTTCCTCACCACCCGCCCAGACAAGATGAACCAGTATCGTAACTCTGGCCTGTACTTCCTACGGGAAGAGCAGTTGATGGAGGCAGTGCGCATCGCAATCAGCCGCTCTTCGCCGAGAGACGGCCTAGGACCGGTCGGCCCGCGTGGTGCTCTCAGCGCCATGTCCCAGCTCGCCGTTGGCATGAGGTCGAAGAGGTCGCTGTCTGATCCGCGAAACACCATCCTATTCACGAGGGATATCCGGTTTGGCCTGTACATCAATATGAATCCCGTCGACCAGCTCGACACCGTGTCCAGGGACGAGGAGATGCGAGAATTCCTGAAGGACGTCGAGGAGAACCCAGAGGTGCTGAACAAGCCCGACACCCTTCATCGCATTTCGATGGAGATTGGGCGCACGCTGTTCAAGTTTCTGGCGTTGCCGGAGGAGGATCTGGACATTGGAATGACGCTCGAATCTATCGGCGTGGACTCTCTCGTCAGCATCGAGATTCGGAACTGGTGGCGGCGGTCGATTGGACTTGAGGTTACGGTCTTGGAGATTTTGAACGCGGGGACTATAGAGGGACTCGGCAGGCTTGCTATTTCGTCGCTGGGGGAAAAGTATAAGCTCGAAAGAGGTGGAAGCGGAACGAGTCCTGGTGAAGCTGCGACGGCGGCGGCGGATACCAACTCTTGAACATACATTCAGTCCTTGGCAGCGGATATGCAACAGCTCTGTAGCGGCGATAACCCTCTGGATGCGCTCAGAGGAACGCGTTGAGGTTGACCGTGTTGCTAACGCCATTGACGGGACAGACATCAAGGAGACAAGGCGGCTGGCTCGTCCTCACTACCGCCTGGCGTGGCGCCGCCGGAGGCCGTCCCGGTCAGCGCCAGCGCATCAAATCTAATTCATCATCATACCCTCACTTCCATGTCGTGCTTCTCACCTCCCGGCGTCCGCATCTGCTACATGAACTGGACTCAAGGCTTGCCTGTACATTCTGCAGTCACAGGCTGTCGCCGCCCTCCGGTGGGCACGGCGCTACGGAGGTCTCAGCGTTGGCACAACTGCGACCGTGTGGTATACCGCACTAATGCTGGGCAGGTGGCGGCGGCATCGGGCGATGGAGGATATTGCACTCTGAAGAGACGAGATTCATGTCGCTTGCGTTGCGTCCCGAGTCGGAAACATAGTCGGAAGGTCAGGCCACCAAGACGTCACTCCCATCACGCCACACTTGCGCACGACTAAGGTAGGTAGTCAATCAATCCCATGACGAGCGACGACAGGAGCAGTTGCCAGCGTTGCAGCGGCAAAGGCGGCTGGCTGAGGAGGAGGTGGTGGTTGTGCTGGGCATCGAGAGAAGCATGTGCAAGACGGACGGATGGCTGGCTGGCTGGCTGGCTGGCTGGCTGGCTGGATGGATGGATGGATGCCGTGTTACGCCGCGGCGCCGGTGCATTTCATTGTTGACTGACCCCCCGGTTCCGAATTCGCCCGCGCATCCAAGACAAAGTGGCATCATGGACCGCCGGGAGCGTCGCGCGCGCGAGGGAGCGAAAGCGTCTGTCAATGTTGTTGTCTCCTGCGCTCATACTGCGCAGTGCAGTGCGGCGACGTGGCGCAACAGACAGACAATCGGGCCAGAGGACGACGCAAGGTGCGTACCTCGTACATAATGAGAATTCGTCGGCGGAGGACGGCATCGGAGGCTGATGGAGGAGCGGGAGCGCGGGACGGACCCCGCGGAGGCGGGCGAGGAGAGGCGCCGCTGGCGGGTGGCGGGCTGGAGCTCCGAGGTTCGGAATCCTAGGGTCGCCCTCGGGCTTCTGGTCAGGCAAGGTCAGGGCATGCGACCCCACAGTCCAGCCAGCGGGATGCGGTGGTGCGGCGATGCCCCCATCCCATCAGGCCCGTCTCCATGTCCATGCATTCGCGGCCGGGCGCCTGGCGCCCCTGGGGTCGGATCTGCGCGACCTGCATGCGGGAGGCGCGGATGGATGGGATGAAGAAGCGCCAGGGACGGAGGCGACTTCCAAGTTGTGTGAGTGGCCTGCCTGCGCCTGCCTTGCCTTCGCAGAGAGAGCCGAGCCGATGCGGGCTTCCATCCCACCCCGGCTTGCGGAGGAATGAGTGGCGTCTGTCGTCCATGGATCCTAGCAGGTAAGAAGAGATGGATGCTCCTCAAACACTGAAACTGTGGCTGCGCGTCCCTGGTGAAGAAGATGTTCAGCGCGTCCCCTCTACCGAACGCGGCGTCCATCGCGCCTGCACGCGCGCGGAGGGCGAGGTAAGGTAGTGAGTGGCCCGTGCGCGCTCCTCCGCACGACATCAGCAGGAGCGATGGATGGGCAGATGGATGGGCAGGCACTGGCGCGCTGGCGCTCTCCGCGTTGCACGCTTCGGCCTCGTCTCGCGACGGCGCTGACGTTATGGGGCATCAATTGACCAGGGCCCTGCCAGTGCCAGTGCCAGCTTGCCGGCCAAAGCCAAAAAGCCAAAGCCAAACCTCCGGCGCGGACGCGGCTCCTGCATCATCGCGCAGCGCCGAACCCAGCGGCCCCCGCGCCCGACGGATGCGCCATTGGCCTAACCCCGAATTCCCCCCCACTGGCGCCAGTGGAGGCCCCGCAAAAAAAATCAGAAGGCGTTCGCCCTCCTGCAAATTCCGTCGCTGGCCGGTCGCCGATACCGTGCTGTAATAGCCATTATACACGACAACTTGATTTTGGCGTGCACGACCCCAGATACGGCCTGCAGCGGTAGTGCCATGCCAAGTCGTGTCCCAGGTACGCGCGCCGCATTGCGCTGCGCTGCACTGCACTGCACCAAAATTCACTTGGATGGGACTCTCCGATTGATTGTTCAGCACACGCACACGCCGCACGCCGCACACGCTGCTCACCACCATAACCACCACACACCACCAACCCTCCCCGGGGAACTTACGCCTCAGGCAGGAAAGACGCAAAACACGCCACGGAATTAATTATTCTACCACCACCGGCCATCACCTCGACGCCTACCTCCGCGCCCACACACGTGCTAGCTAGCCCAGCCCACCACCTGCCTGCCTGCCTGCCTGCCTGCATGCCTCCACATCGGACCGCCGTCCATCCACAAACCTAACGCCGCATAACGTGCTTCCGTCCTCATCCAGACTACTTCACTTCCCGCCTCCCCCCTCCGCGGCTTCCTCCTTCCTCCACTTCCTCAACCCGCCCACCCTCACACAACTTGCCCGTCGTTGCCGTCGCCGTCGCCAGTGCTCTCCAAACCTCGCCTATCCTCATCCAACGTCAACGCACGAAACGTATATCCCAGCCGTGCCGCCGCCGCCCACGCTCCTCCGTTCGGCTACCTTCGCATTAACTCCGACTCCACCGCCCACAAACGCACATCCGTCACCGCAGACATGTTCACGACTCGGGCCCTCCGACAGGCTGCTGCTCACGCCGAGCGCACGCCATTGATCAAGTTCCTCGGCCCCCGAACCATTCCCTGTGAGCACACCTCCAACCCCGATGCCGTCCCGCCGCTGTGCTGAGGTGCTAACCCGCGCCGCAGCGTCCATTGACCACACTCCCAAGCCCCATCCGGCTTCTCCCTCGGGCTCGCTTCCCGAGTCTTTCTCCGCCTACGGCAACAGCTCTGCCGCCTCGCGCCACACCTCATTCAGCAGCTACCGCGACCACGCTCAGCAGCACGGTCCTCTTCAGAAGACGATTCGCAATGCCGAAGCTGGAATTGGTGGCTCCTCCGGCGCCCAGCTGGGCCCTGTCGAGGCCCCCAAGGGTGTCTATTTTGACGTCTCGGACTTGCCTGCCCGCTACCGTCGCCTGCCAATCGACATCAGCGAGATTGAGGCCGTCGAGTCGGGTGGCGCAGCTCTGATCGGCTAATCGGAACACTGTGACGTGGATGAACAGGGGACGACAAGAAAAGAGCTGGAGAAGCAAAACATAGGCGGATGAAGCACGGCAACGACGGCAACGTTGCACATACCCAACGCAATGCCCGACGAGAGTATCCCGCCGGGACAGCGGTCTACGACCCCGCCGTGTCGAGGGGCCAAAGGGTCCAGAGCGTCTCGGCGGTACGCGAAAAAGCCTCGATGTACCGGTTCCGGGATGGCGGAGCGGCTTGCTTTTTCGTCAGGGATTGATCAGAGCATCTCCACTTCGTATGGGCTTGCGGTGTGCTCATCGAGTTCCAGGGAGCTACGGGCGTTTTTTTTTTCCAGCGGTATTGGGCTACGGCGGTTGCGAGTTCACGACGGTATTGTTTCTGGCGCCAGGCTTCATTGTCTCGGGGAAGCCTTTGACTACCGGTTTCTCCCACCGGCTTTGTTTCAACAATTGGGATGTCAGCTGCACAGCTGCACCGGCCGGGGTTTCAAGACTGTACATAGAATTACTTGTTCGACGAATGGTGTATGACCACTTGTTAAACATCAACCCGCCTCTTGCGCACCGTGCCACCCATCCTGATGCATGCTCAGGCGAGATCTGATGGCATGTGCAGGTTGAAACAGCTCACCGCAGGCTACATGAGATGAGCCAGACACGCGTTGGTAAATTGCGGTCGGGAGACGGCTCAACGAAAACGGATTTGTTGGCAAGCTTGGCTGCGCGTGGTTGAGATCTGTTCGCAGTCGTCTCTCGTACAGTCACGTCCGCAATCGTGGCAATTGTTATGTCTGTTCAGGGCCGCAATTGTCGGTACATGAATCCAGATATGTTGGAAAGTATGAGACGGTAAGATGGTCGCTTGCGAATTCTATGACAACCAAAGGGCCATAACGACAGAACGTCGGGAAATCAGACCAGCCGCCCAAACGCCGCGTCGTCGTAAGTTCGTTCCTGCCCAGAATCGCCGGCGCCGTTTCAACGCAATCAAGAAACTTCCATACAATTTGACAGAATCTCCTCCTTTCCTTCCCAGCTGCTTACATTCATTTGTGCTTGAGCGTGTCCTTGATGATTTGGAGGCATTCGCTGGGGTCCTCGAAGACGTGCCAGGCCTCGCGCGGTATGTCCTTGAAGGCCTTTTCGAAGCGCTCGGGCTCGTTCTTCTCGTCGATGCCAAAGGACGCGACGTCTGTGGCTTTGCGGATGAGGATGAGCTTGATCCAGCCCGGTTTCGTCCGATAGCTGCGGGTTAAAGTCAGGACGCTGGGATGAAAAGGGGTAAATCAAGGGTTTGGCGGTGGGCCGTGCAACTTACACCTCACCGTACGCCTCGGGGTCCGACTGGGTCGAGTCGCCAATGACAATCATCTTGCGCTCGGGCAGCCACGAGTTGATCTTGTTCATCCGGTCAACCTTGTACTCCTCGGTGTTGAGCGTCAGCGCCGACAGCAGGCCGGCGACCGTCTTCCAGCTCGAGTCGCGCAGGATGAGCGTGCCGGGCGGGTAGAACTGCTTGCGGAACTGCTTGAGGAAGGGGTAGAGGTTGTACGGCGACGCCGACAGGTAGAACCACGCCGTGTCCTTGGGCAGCAAGGACTTGGCCTTGGCGTAGAGCTCGGGCATGCCGGGGATGGGCGAGGGCTCCTCGACGAAGGTCTCGCGCAGGATGCCCACGGGGTCGCTCGTCTTTGTGATTTTGATAGTGTCATCGATGTCTGTTGGAGGGGTTTGTGATTAGCAGAAGTTGACCGCTGTGGTGAATGATACCCAAGAGAGCATCATCATCACCATGGGGTTTATATACGCACCTGAGATGATTCCCCAGCCGTCAGGCCCCGCATAGTACGTCTGCATGTCGACAATGGCCCCCTCCCCGCCGCCGACCTTGGTCGACGACTTGACGAGCGAGCCCCTGCTGCCGCTCGGCACCGCCAGCACGTTGGACGACAGGCCGTTGACGTTTGTCGGTCCCAGCTTGAGCTCGCCGCGGCGGTGGTGCTGCGTCACGGCGACGGTGCGCAGCGGCCGGATGTCCCACAGGAACGGTACGATGCGCTCCTCGACCGTCTTTCGCTCCGCCGCGTCGTCGGCCAGCCCAACGGCTCGCACGATTCCCGTCACCATGTCGACGACCTTGCCGCGCGGCTCGCGCTCAAACACGGCCGCCACGAACTCGGCCTGCCACGCCCCGCCCCCGGTCTTGAAGGCCGTGTTGTCCAGCAGCCATACCAGGTCGTCGTTGGTCACTGCCCTGCCGAACGGGTTGAGGCTGCCCAGCCGGTCGAGCCACCCGCGCACGCTGAGGAGCTGCGTCGTCTCGAGCTTGGGTTTGCGCGGGTCGGGGAGGTTGGACTCGACCTCGTCGAACTTTTTCTCCTTTCTCGTGCGCAGCTGCATCGCGCCCGCAAAGGATGATGGATTGAAGTCGTTTACTGTCATGGTGACAGAAGGGGGGCGCGCCTCTGGGCCGCCGGGATGGAATATAGGGTATAATAAACCACCTGTGTTCCGTATTGCGCGCGCACGCAACAGTCGCCGCCGACGCCTCGTTCAGGCTCGCGTCTGGATCAGATGCTCAAGGCTGTGACTCTCGCGGAAGCGGCTCGTGCCTGCGTATTCGGCGCCCGGGGGGGTTGCGTTTGAGGCAGCGAGCAAGTCACCAGGGACAATGGGGTGTGGGAGGAGGGGATGTTGCGCCTCTTGTCTTGCGTGCCTGATGTCCGGGGGCTCGTGAAGTAGAAGAAAGCGGCGAACGGCAAGGCGAACGGGGTGAGCGTGGGCTGTGTGTTTTGGAGCTAGGAAGCGAGCTGAAGGAGGAGATGTGAGGCAAGGCAGCCCCCCCCCCCGGCGGGAGGGTGAGTGCGCTGGTGACGCGTGACTGTGACTGCATGACGACGATCACGAAGGGGCGGGCGCCAAACACCCACGCTTGACCAGATGTTACAAGGGGGCCAGCTGACGGCGAGGAACACCCCCAGGCTGCGTACAGTACGCTGGAAAAAGACTTTGCGAATGGGTGTCGTCGTCGCGTTGGGACGAGGCGCCAGTGAGACGCCACATTCGGTGAGGGCGAGCTGCACCCTGAGTGCAGCTGGTGATGGCTGCCTGCGGAGGGTTGGTCGGATGCCTCCCCCTCTGTCGCCCAGGCTGCGGCGCCATGAATATTGCCAGGTGCCCTGCTTTCGCGATGAGTTGATGGCTTTTCCCGGTGGCGACCGTTCCTGTCTTCCCTGTCGCCGCTCAGCTTGGCCTTGCGATGCCGGGCGGGTCTGCGGCGATGCGCGACCCGTGCGCCGCGCAGATGGGGCTGATCACCTGCAGCAACCAACGCCCCGGGACGTCATCGCCTGGGACCCCCCAGGTGCAAGGCTGGTCGGTTCGTCATGGTGGTGGTGGTGGTGGTGGTGGTGGTACCCTTCCAATCTTCAGCCGCTTCTGTCTGGCGGCCCAGGAACGAGGCGAGAGCGCAGCGGTGCATCGCACCCGCCATCGGGTCTGGTGCTAAGCGCAACGCGCCCGTCCCATGCCATCCCTTCCCTCGCCAATGTCTTTGGCTGGCTGGATGGCTGCCGGTTGCCGGTCCGTTGGGCGGTGCTGTAAATACCGGGCGCACAGCTCCGACAGTGTGGGGGCGGGGCGTACCTCGTCCGAACCCCGTCCCGCGCCGTAACCTTAATCTTGTTGCCCCGACTTGCGCCGCAATCGTCATCTCGTTGCGGCTGCCGTGGTATGTGATCGTACGAGCGACGGAAGTGCCGCATCTCACATTCGCGGGAGTATGGCCAGTCAAAGGGCCCGGCACATCATCTGCCTACGCGCTGCTCGCGGCTACAAAACTGCCCACGAGCGTATGACAATGCGGGTTTGTTTTCTTATAGATATGCTCGGCTGTATTGCTCCCCGGCATGAAAAGTATGGTATTCCCGCATGGTATCCAATGCCTCGCAGAGCTTTTGCCCAGTAACCATCTAGGAGCCAGGCCTCCCTCGACGAGGCTACCCAACACCGTAACACCGTACGCCCGCCCGTGTGTGCCATGTATCATATAACAAAGGGCACAGTATGCAAACAAACCCGTCTCTCAGCTTGCCTGTCTGACGCGACACGCTCTTTGACGGCCGCTCTACAAGGAAGCAAACAACTCATGAGAAATCTTGTCGGCCGCCAACCCTGCCAACTCTCGGATGGCTCGCTGGCCAAGAGTGAAGCCGTCATAGTACAGGTGATCGTCTGGCTTTTCGCACACCGCGCCGTCAGCCCCAGCATCCACGGCGATGACTCCGACCGCGGGTTTGGCCGTGCAAGGCGTCCAGGTGTCGACGAAATACAGCGAATCGTTGGCCGAAAGGGTGCCTCGACCCTTGCTGTCCTTCAGTCCGGATCGTCGCAACTCTTCATCCGTCATGGCATCGAGGATGTGTGCCGCCAGGTTGAGCTGCAACCCGGCGCGCCGCGGGTACGGTGCGTACACGACGCCATCTTCCGATGCAGTTTCCCGCCCCGGATCCTTTTCCGGCTGGAATTTCGACGGTAGGAATCCAAGCAAAGACTTTGCCTTTGGGAACTCCGTGACCTCCTTGACGTTTTCTTCCTCGATACCGTCGGGTCGGCGCCGCCCCTTGGCGTTCCACGATTCCAGCGCATTCTTAACCTGGGAATTCCAATGCCTGGTCAAAAAATCGGCGTTGCGCATCTGCTCAGCCTTTGAGTGGGGGTACGAGGGCACAGGCCGCTGCTGCCAACCAGGCGCAATGGTCATGTCGGCCAGGTGCGGAATGATGATTCGGAAACTCTCTAATTCGCGTCGGTCAACCTTGCTCGCCGTCTTTGGGTCCGCCAGTCGGTCGACATCGCTCTCGGTCGCGTTGGCCCAAAAGTCGGAGAAGGCGACTGAGGTGGGATTCAGCGCCTTCAAGTAAAGAAGTTCGATCTGCGCGAACAAATGTGAGACGAGGGCATCGACGAGGTGTTCGGCCGACACGCGAGGGAAGGCAGCCAGGTTCCAAACATCCCATGTGCCAAAAGTGAAGACCCAGAGCGTATTTCTCGGGGCGTTTTCGGGAGGAGGCAGGGCAAGGAACTGCTTGACCTGCGCCTCGAGGTCCGGAGAGTCCATGGGAACGGGGTACTGTTTCAGGAGAAACTCGTAATCCTTGGCAGGCGCGGAGAGGAAGTCGGTCGTCTTGATTTGTTCCTGAAGTGCGTGGAGCTCGTTGCCGTACAGCCCGTTGGACGTGAGGGCCGGCTTGGAGTTGCCATCGGGGACAAAAGACTGATACGAGGAACAATCCAGCTTGAAGATGGTCAGCCTTGTCGAGGTGTTGCAACGAGTCATTGGGCGCGCAAGGTCTTACCTCTGAGCATAGTTGCTCAGTCCAGGTCTTACCTGACCCTGCATAACTCGAGGAGCTGCCTGTAACATCCTGGGAGCCAAAGACGACGATGCGCAGAGCGCCCGTATCACGCGGCGGGCTGGTTGACCAGGACAGACGGTACCCTCCCGTCAAGCGCGTGGGCAGCAAGTGCAGGAGCAGCGGCACGATGAGGACGCAGGCCGCTAGTTGCAGGATCAGCCGCGGACCGCCTCGCCATATGCGATGGGTAAAGAAGACGAGGATGGCGGCGAGGCGATGTCTCAGCGACGAGGCCGGGCGGTCGTGTGGAAGCTGGTGATCCGCCGGTGGCCGGTCCGACCACGGAAAGACGGCCATGGCGGTGTCGGACGAAGCGGGAGAGAGTTTACGTAGGGTTTAGGCGTCCAAGAGGCGGCATTGAGCAGCACGGCGGTGACGTGAACGGCCAGGGACGGGTGGAAGTCGGCGGTTCGGCGGCGCCGGCTTCGACGGGCGGTCGCTCGGAGCCGACACGGACAAGGTGCGTGCGCTCGAGGTTTCGTCGGAGTGCCTGATGAGGAAGGGGGCTTCTGGCAGAGGGGGGGTGGAGGAGGAGTCTGCTCAGGAGAGAGGAGGGTGAGGAAGCAAAGGACACGAAGCCATCGACGGAGGAGGCTTGGGCGGTCGGCGTATTTGGCTGAGCGGGCGGCCCCTGTGTCGCATGGCGTGAGGGTTGCGCAAGCCAGCAAACCGGGAGGTGGGGGGCGGCTTGAGATACGAAATGCCTGCAGGCGCAAAACAAGAGCAATATGCACGTTACAGCGGGCCAAGGCCAAGGCCGGGTGCTGTTAAAAGTACCCTATAAGGCGGGCACAGGGTGGATGAGGTGCAGACGGGACGCGCGTTGCCGGCCCCGGGGCCGCTGCGGTGCCGAGTAACGGTGGCCAACATCCAACGGACAGCGGCATCGACGTTGGACAGTAGGTTCTCAGTAGGTTCACTAACGCCCGTCCATGACGCTTGGACAGACTGGCGGGCCCCTGCTGGGCACGGGCGGGCACCTTCGTACCTACGGGCATTCCATTGCCCTCAAGTGGACGACTGCACTCGGGCAAATGCAGCGCAGACGCGAGCGCTGCAGGCCAAGGCTTTGTTGCTTTTCATGCTCGCCTCAACCAGACTTGACGAGATGCCCACACGCTGACGCTGTTCCCCCCCAGAACGGCCTCCTTCAGGCAAGGGGGCACGCGACTCGGGCATCGTTGTCGACTGACTAGCGCCCGCTAGACGAACCTAACGGCGTGTTAGTGCCCTACCGGCGACAGAGTCCAGGGCGCCGCCGCCGCGCTCATAAGATTGTGCATCGCAGGCCCGGGGCTGAGTCGCGAGGACCATGAGATGCCAAGCCGGATCCAAGGCGGATGCGCCAGCCAGTCATTTCGCGATGCCTGGCCCGCGGCTGATGCTTTTATGCCCCGACTCGGCTTTGACGCATGTGCCGGGTCCGCTCCCATTGCGCGTCCCTGTTGTTTCACCGATTTGTCTCGTTGCGTCCCTCATTCAGCCTGAGTGCAGGCAGTGTCAAAAGGCCTGCGTGCTGCATCGCTTCAGACCGCATCGACGACGACGGCGCGACCTTTTTCTCGAGGTCGATGTGGGGTGGCAAGGGGTCGGTGGTTCATCAGGCGCGTGCCTCTCCACAGCGGCGGGCTTGCAGCCCATTGTTGATGTGCTTAATCCCAAGAGCCCAGCGACCGCATAATCCACGCCAATGCCATGCTAAGGGCCGTCTGTTACCCGTAAGTCGTCAATAAAACAGCGGCAGGCAACCCATGCTAACATGCCTCAGGCGAGAAAGAAGGTTCGAGGAGAGCGGCCGACGGCGGCGCGATGCCACTGGCGCACCCACGTGGGCTGGACCAGGGCACCAGTGCAGGGAGCCTGGCTGACGGAGAGTCCTACCTCTATTACACTGAGCCCTTGCCGAGCAGGACTGCCTCTCTGTCGATAGGCAGCGAGAGGCGGTGGGCCAGGCTTCAGCGGACGGCACGTCAATGGGGCACACCTGAACTCAGTCACTGCCCGAGGTGCTTGCGTGAATCTCACTGGCTGCTCGACTCCTCCAGGACCCTGCGGGGAGCACCGGGGCACCAACCTTGACAAGAGCGCCTCCAACAGGGCGACCCCAGGCCAACGTGGATGCGTGGTTGCTGATAATGTGGGCTTTGTTCAAGGTTTACCTTGGTCTCGATCCTTGGTTCCACGGAGCCGGCGCATCATGGAAGCAATGCAATCAAGGTCCTCCAAGGCCCCCTCCGCCTGTGGTACCCACAAATAAGTCGCCTCGACGAAGCATGAGGTCCCATCGCCCTTGCCGCTGTCAGCAGCCAGAGCTCGCCCTGGCTTGCCTGGTACCTAGCCGTGAGCACCGCACTGCGGGCAGTGAGTGGCAACCGCAACAACACCTGCCGTTCCCGTCGCCGCAACAATTGTCAGTCATCTCCAGCGCTCTCCATTTCCACCCACGTCCATTGTCAGAAACCGTTCCCGACGCGACCGGCCATTGCTCCCTCCATCACTGCCAGCAAATCCCTGCATCATCCAAGCTTGGCGTCCTCGTTGCATCCGACCAACAGACCCCAGAGCAAACCTCGTGACCCGACGCTCGCTGCCCCTCACGCTTGCCCGCTCGCCATCGACAATGGGGGCTTGACATCATCGCTTCCAGGCTCCTCAGCTGTCGAATTCCGCGTCTCATCTTTCCTGCCGCTCACGGGCCTTCTGTGGCCTGCATACGCGCCCCAGTGCAGTCGTCTTGAGCGTTCTGGCCCTGGCGCCGCCCGCGAGCCATGCTCTCCCACCTGCGCTTTCACCGTCGGGGCGCTTCCAATCCAGCCTCGCCCTTGACTGACCAGCCGCAGTCTCTCTCGCCCCTCAGCAGTCATGACTCTCCGCTGGCACCCGACTCGGCCTCGCCCTCCGATGCCCGCCCGCCCTCTTCGAGCTCTTCCGCATTTCCCCCGGTGCTGCCCCCGATTACCCGGGTGACCTCGGCCGACGCGGACCTGCAGCCCGAGCGACGACGAGGCGCCGACCCGCCGGCCGCGACGGACTCGCGCCCGCAGCAGGCCCTGCGGTCCCCGTACAATGGCGACTCGGGCTTCATCGGCGGCGTGGCCTTGCAAAATTATCGCCGAGATGTCGAGGCACATAAAAACGCCCGGTCCGGCTCTATCGATCTGTCCCACGGTGACGATCATGCACGGCGCCAGCGGCCCATGGCCGTGCCTACGGCTACAGACGGCGGCGCCTCCAAGTATTACGCAAAGTCCATGTCCACCTTTAGCACGCCCCTCGACTTGCAGAACTCGGCTCCGTCCGGCGTGGGCCGGCGACCGGCTGGAGCACGTCTACACAGTGACGCCCAGCTTGCGCCTCCGGCGGCGGCCATTCCAGAGCCGCAAAAGGGCAAAAAGGGGCTTCCGTTTCTCAAGAACCCCATGTCCACGTTGCTTATGCGCCGGAAGAACAATCAGAATGTTCCCGACGTCCGCCCTCTACCCTTGTCCGGCCGTCAGGAAGAGCCCATATACGACCCGCGAATTAAGGGCACCCGCGTCCATGACTTCAGCGCCCCGAGACGCAAACAAAATGCCCCTGGCCAGAGCCTCGTGGCCGTACGATCCGACTCGCAGACTGACCTGTCCGCAAATAGAAGCCAGCCCTCGGAGGGAAAGGAGAGCGGCCCCTTAGAATCTCGTCAACCTCGCCAGACGAGCAACGCTTCTGAGTCGACCCGCTCCGAGCCCGCCGCTGGCACGGCTTCGCAGTTGCTTTCCAGGTCGAGTATGTCTTCGCAGCCAACCCGAGCCCCCTCTGTAGAGCAAAACTTGGCTACGCCAGAAGGGAAATCCGCGCCACCAGTACCCCCCAAGGACAACATTCAAGCTCCATCACGGTCAGCTTCCTCGACATCACCACCAGTGCCGGATGAACATGATACACAGCAAACGCCAAAGCCTGCAATGTCCCAGCGGACCACTCGGTCCAGAAACATTTCGCTTTCAGAAATTTCTGCCGTTCCCCGCCATATGAAGAGTACCTCGTCCCGATTTAGCTTCGACATGGTAGGAGCGGCCAAACAGGAGAAACTGTTAGAAGAACGCCACCGCCAGCGCGAATTGGAGAGGAAGGCAACCGGTGCTGATGACCCTAGGGACTCAAGATTTGATGACTTTGACGAGGATGCTTTTGATTACGACGCCATGATGGATGACGATGGGCTAGAAGAGAGGATACCAGGCGTCAATGCCGACTTTGATGATGAGGAAGAAGCCTATGACGACTTTGACCCGGACAACGACCAAGAGAACTTCGCAGGCTTTGTATTTCAACGTTCGAACCCCACGTCTTCCCTGGGGAGCCCGCAGAGCAACGGGATGCTGAATACGCCGAGAGATGCTGAAGGCAGGGCTATTGGATTTGCCATGACCAAGGATACCCCAAGCCTCGCTACCTTCCCTTTGTCCCCTCACGCCCCCTCGCCACCTCTCGACCAGGCACCGGCATCTCAAGCTTCGGGCTTGGGTATCCAGGATGTCGTCGAGCCGGAGTCGACCGGCCCGCTTGAGCCGGTTCAAGAGGACGAGCTGTACTTCGACGATGGCATGATCGGGCTTGAAAATGAGTTCGCCGAGGATCTGGCCGCAACTCCCGAATATGATGCAGCGCCGTTTGACGAGTCGATATTTGACAACAACGATACAGACCAGTTCGGGAGGCCAGTTCCAGGCGCGTTTGCGCAGGCCCAGTCCCAGCGTTGCGCCGCTCCCCAGGGCCCTTCGGCGAAGCGAGAATCCGATATCACCTCGCGACTCTCTGCCCATTCGGGCACATCGCATTCTACTGCTCACACGTCTCTGAGCGTCGACCGCAAGGAAATGACAACTGCCGCCGAGTCGACGGGACAATGTCACGATGAACAAGACGCCGAAACGGCGCAAGAGCCCGGCCTGGACGGCGGACTACCACGGGATCCTGTCGCAGCTTACCAGGCGGAGCTTGCTGCGGCAGCCCACAAGGCTGCTGCCTCGGGCAAATTTCAACGCAGCGCATCGCCTCCCCAAGAAGACGACGAGTCAAGCCAAGTCTACCAAGACGACACGATGCACGAGGACATGTACGACGATGAGTATGATCAGGGCTTCGTCAACATGGACGATTTTGAACTCGACGATGACGGTATCATAGCCGAAGCAAACGCCAGCGCATTGGCGAACGATTCGGACGGCTGGTACGGGCAGGAATTCGGCTTCTACTCAGCACCTTCTAACCCGTCACATGGGTCGCAGGGCTCGAGTCTGTCCGAGCCGTCAGGCTATGAATATGCAAACGGCGGGTTCTTCGGGCCCAAGGGAATGGGGGGCCTGGATCGCAGCACGAGCGGCCGTATGGTATCGAGAGAGCCCAATCTGACGCCGATAACAGAGCGGTCCGAGTACTCCAACCGCAACTCCCTCATGAGCATGGGATTTCCGCCGCTCAGCTCATCCACTCCTGTCGTTCAAAGCCCCGGTCTCGCGCAGTTGGCGATGATGGCGGACAGCGGCGATGATCAGATGACGTTATCGGCGCTGCTCCGGCTGCGATCAAAGGCGTGGGGTGGCTCGCAGGCCAGCCTGGTGTCGAGCAGGGAGGGATCACCACGGTCTGACCGCGGAGACGTGCCCAGCTCGCCGTGGGGCCCGAACTCGGCAAGTGCAGTTCCAGGGCCGAGCGGGGGGCACATTCGCAAAAGCTCGACCTTTTCGACGCTGAGCCGCGACTCGGACGCCCCCAGCGGGTCGGCGAGCCCGACGCTCACCATGGCAAATGCGACATTTGCATCGCCTTTCCCCGCGCCTCAGGGGACAGAACGGCCGATCTCCGTCCCCGAGCCCGGCATGTCTTACCCCCCCGCAGCTTTTGATCTGGATGAGCCGGGGATGGGCATGGAGCGGAACGAGATGCCGTTGTCGCCTGTCTCGGAGAGGAACTCGATGGACGTGGGTCGGGGGCTCGATGGCAGAACCGCGAGCGTTTCGTCGAGGGTCTCGGGAAGAGGCCACCACCGGCACAAGAGCTCGGCGGACAGCGTGTCGTATCTCAAGGAGGAGGACAGCGGAGAGACGCGCTGGGTGATGGAGAGGCGGCGAACAGGCGAATCGGGCGAGGTGGAGATATTACAGCGAGAGATTGTTGAGGGCGGACGTATATGAAGTGTGCCTCTATCTCTTCTTGGACGTCAAGTGGCCAGGTTTTTGGCGAGACGCTGCAAGCGCGCCTGAGACGGGCGGGGGGCGGACGGATAAATACTTGGGCGGCTCCTACGTTTACGAGGTTCCTTACCATCCTCACTTATTGTCTACTATTTCGAGGGAAGGGAGAGCGCCTCGGGCTGGTCCGAGGCTTGGCAGTTAGCATGGCGTTTTGTGGCCGCCGCAGGGGCCGGTTTCATTGGCATTTTGGGACATGGCATATTACTTGTACGTATGTATGCATGGGTCGGCAGCGGCGGCCGTCGGCCCCAGGATAATATACAAAAGCGATTGTCGGCTGACGCACGGAAGAAAGAGGTTGGGCGACGGCCCGAGGCCACCCAGGCATGCCAGGCCAGGCCATCAGCATCACTCCGACAGGGAGTCGCGTGCGAGACCGAGGCATCGCCCCGCTCTAGTGACAGGTTGACGCAGGCTGGATGGCGGGCACAGCAGGCCGAGTGTTTAGCAAAGAGTGTCGTCGGACGCGGTCCCGGGCGACGTGCTGGAAGGGGCATGGCTCGGTCTGTGGGAGAGCGTGGGGGCTGGCGAGGATGTGCAATGACGACACCGAGGCAAGCCACGAGGCCGGGATTCGTTGGCGGCGGGAGCTTCTGCTGCACGTCACGATCGTGTTGGCCGGGCTGGCCGAGGGTGATGAAATGCAGAGTGCAGACGACGGCGGGCCATCGTGCCTCTCTTCTCTGCTCGAAGCCGAGACAAGACACGATGCAGGGCTCCCAAGACAGACTTGACGGGACGCATTTCTTTCCCCAGACGAGCGCGAGGGGTCCAAAGCAAGGGGAAGAGCAAGCGGAGCAAGCATAATACTCGTGGAGAAGAAGAACAGACGGCTCGTCGGCGGGCTGCTGCGGCCCACCTGCTGCATCGGGCTTAAGCCAGCAAGACGGTCAGAGAACTCAGAGGAGGATCGACTGTTGGCCGTGCTGGGGCGGTTGCTGGCGGGTCGTCTCAGCGCCTGGCGGTGGTCACTGGCCATAGGTGGCTAAACACGCCGTATCCACTGGTTCCCCCCGGCGCGAGGAGGAGCGACGGGAGGAAGGAACACGGCCTATCAGCGTCGCAACCCTGGTGCACGGGGGTGTTTAAACAGACTCCACCGCGAAGGTCTCGGGGCGCCCGCGCGGACGGCTTCTTGAGAGCAAGCAACCAAGCAAGCAACCAAGACCAAGGCACGCGCGCGCGGGCGCCGTCTGGTGTAGCCAGCCTCTAACTAACAACTACGCCAGCATGTGGTCTTTTAAAATGGCGCGGTGCTGCGCCAGTTGCTGCTGCTGCTGCTGCCGCCGTCCATCCGCCCGCCCTCGCGTGCTCTCCTCGTCGTCCTGTTTCTTCTCTCCCAGTCTGTCGGTTGGTCATCGTCTTCAAACGTTTTATAAGTCGACGGTCAAGTCTCCAACTACACCACCATCGCCACGGGCTCGGCGACGCCTAGCTCCACGCCTCGTTTCCGGGAAAGCCAGCGCTCGTGGCCTTGTCCGTGATCCTGCCTCGCCGACGGACGGGCAGTCTCTTCTGCATCGCGCGACTCTCAACCCGCCCCGCGATGCGCAGCGTGAACGCAAAAGGACCAACTCCGTACTGCTGCTGCTCGATCCCTGCCTCTGCCGCGATTGCCCGCATCCAACGAGTGTCACGCGACGTCCACGTGCCCTCACCGTCGCACAATTGAGAACCGTCCGTCGAAGAAATCACAAGCAGTGACCGAGCCAACAAGAGAGTGTATTGGTCTGTGTGTGTGCTGTCTCTTATACACATCTAGATGTGTATAAGAGACAGGTATTGGTCTGTGTGTGTGTGTGTGTGTGTGACCGCGCGAGCGTCCGCCAAAACCGACAATGAATGCCTCGTCATCCTACTCCTCCGCCGCAAGCCCGGAACAGCCGCCACTCACCATGGACCCCGACAAGCTCGAGGCCAAGATTGGCCAGCCCGGTGATGATGATGGCAGCTTCCAACGCGCCCGCAACCCGGACGGCTCGTCGCTGCGCGGCGGCGAGGACATCCTCGGCCTGCAGGACCTGGATCCCGTGCTCAACATGAAGATGCACCTCGTCAACAACGTGAGTGACAGGTATAGCACGCGCTGCGTGACACCAGCCGGCTGTGGTGATTGATGATGATGAGAGTCTCGAGCCCAATTATGCTGACTTAGACTGCAAAAAACAAGGCGATAGATGAGATTGGTTGGACGCCGTACCATCTCAAGCTCTTCTTCCTCAACGGCTTTGGGTCAGCTCCGATGCGCCTCCCCCCTTTTGTCCCTCCCGGATATCCTCCCATCTTCTTCCCGGAGCTCACGCCCGTGACGACGCCCTGGCTGACTGACCGGCCCTCTGCTCGGGGCGCTTCCTATTTAGATATGCAGTCGACTCCATGATCCTGCTCTTCCAGTCCATCGTCTCCACGCAGGCGTACCGCGAGTTCGGCGAGAGCGGCTACAAGAACGCGCTGACTGTGTCCGTCTACTGCGGCATGCTCACGGGCGCCGTCTTCTGGGGCTGCACCGCCGACCTCATCGGGCGCAAGTACGCCTTCAACATCTCCCTCTTCATGTGCTCCGTGTGCTGCATCGTCGCCGGCGCCATGCCCAGCTGGGCCTCGCTCGGCCTCTTCATCGCCCTGCTCGGCTTCGGCGGCGGCGGCAACCTCATCATGGACACGACCGTCTTCCTCGAGTACCTGCCCAGCGACAAGCAGTGGCTGCTGACCTTCCTCGCCTGCTGGTGGGGATTCGGCCAGGCCATCACCGGCTTCATCGGCTGGGGCTTCCTCGTCCCCGCCAGGTGGAACTGCGCCGACGTCGCCTCGTGCACCCGCGACTCCAACTGGGGCTGGCGCTACACCCTCTTCACCGGCGGCGCCCTCGTCCTCGTCATGTCCATCCTCCGCGTCACCGTCGTGCGCCTGCGCGAGACCCCGAAGTACCAGCTCAGCATGGGCGAGGACGCCGAACTCGTCGAGACGTTCCAGTTCCTCGCCCAAAAGTACAACCGCCCCTGCTCCCTGACGCTCGAGAAGCTCGAGGCGTGCGGCACCATCCGCTCCGTCCAGAAGAAGAAGAAGGGCTTCTCCGTGGCCGGCACCTGGTCGCATTTCAGCGGCCTCTTCGCCACAAAGAAGATTGGCATCTCGACGGGCATGATATGGCTGTCATGGACCCTCATCGGCCTCGCGTACCCGCTCTTCTACGTCTTCCTGCCGTGAGTTGTCGCCCGTCCTTACTGTGTAGACTGAACGTGAGAGTGCCCGGCTAACCTCATCGTTTCTAGGACATACCTGGCCAACCGCGGGCTCGAGTTTCATCGCTCCCAGTTCGAGACGTGGCGCAACTACGCCATCACCAACATCTGCGGTATCCCCGGCCCCATCATTGCCGGCTTCATGTGCAACACCAAGCTCCTGGGCCGCAAGTACACGATGGTGATTGGCGCCCTAATCACCATGGCCTTCTTCTTTGCCTACACGGCCGTCAAAACGGCCGTGCAGGACTTGACCTTTACTTGCCTCATCGCCTGCTTCCTCAACATTTACTACGGCACGCTGTACGCGTACACGCCAGAGGTGCTCCCTAGCGCGCACCGCGGCACCGGCAATGGTATCGCCGTGGCGTGCAACCGCGTCATGGGCATCGTCTCGGCCATTGTCGCCACTTTTGCCGACACGTCCACCTCGGCGCCGCTGTACGTGTGCGCCACCATTTTCCTCGCCGCGGCGATCGTGGCCGCCCTGTTCCCATTTGAGCCCTACGGTCGGAGGAGTTCGTAATTGGTTGCTGGGAAGTCGGGCCAAGACCGCCGCGGTTCGTGGATCCGGGAGCAGTGCATCTGCTGGGGCGGAGACTTGGTGTCCCCTTCGTATTGGCAGGAGGGACCTGTAAAGATACCCGGAGACATACATGAGATGAATCTATACAAATAAGATGAAATATTCACAAAGGGCAAGCATTAGTGATTATGGTGTCGGTTGGTTGGCGAAATGCACACATGAAGTCGCCCGACTTACATGGGCCGTCTAGCTGACTAACCCAATTTCCACACCTCAGGGCCGAGTCGCCACAGCCATCGCTGCGTCTGCATCATCGTCGCATCTCACCACACGCTTCCTGGGAAGGTCTTTTTCGAGTCGCTGTGGCGGTTCGCATTTCTTGGTCTATCATTTCATCGCACAGATTGGACTATGGCGCCTTCTCTGCGTCGGGCACCTCGACTATGCTGCCGCTGTGCCCACTTGGCATCGATATCGCGTTCATACCCGGGCGCCGCCCGATTTTCATCCCAGACAGGCTCCGGCTCGCTTGCCGCGGCGAGCAAGTCTCCGTCTCATGAAGAGGAACCCGACTCAGGCAGCCGTGTCGCGTCCGAGAAGGCGGAGGACAAGCTCGTCGGCCCAATGGCGCGGAGGCTCGCTGAGGCAACAGAGGAAGCGCTCCTGACTGGCGGCGCCGCGGGGCGACGCGCAGTGGAAGATGCGGGCTTCTCAGAGGAGCTCAAGGAGAGGCTGCTGAACAAAATAGCCGACGCCAAGTTCCGCAAGCAGTACTCTGGCGCGTTCGCCGAGGCAGGCATCGGGTCCGCCGCCGGAGAGGGCACCAAGCACATCGCAGCCGCGCAACCCTGGACGGGCACGGAGGCGACCGAGGACGCGGTCCTCAGGATGCTTGACGATGGCCGGAAGCCGCTGAAGCCCCAAGACCGAGGAAAGTACCAGCCGCCGCCCGTCGACATGCGCCTCAAGCGGGGGCCCGTGCAGAGTCCCGGTCAGCGCGCCGCCAGCGCGCGGGAGAGGGCTTCCATGTACACAGGGCTGGGCATGAAAGGGTCCAAGGGACTGAGCGACGAGGAGCGAGAGGAGATGAAGCGCGAGTTCAGAGAGAGATTCCAGCCCGGTGCGAGGTCCATGCCAGTCTCGCCGTCTGGCCTGGCGGCCTTGGCGAATGAGCGCATCGAAAATGCCATCGCCAGGGGTCAGTTCAAAGACCTCCCGCGCGGCAAGAGCATGGAGCGAGATCCGCGTGCGGATAACCCGTTCATCGATACCACGGAATACATCATGAACAGGATGATACAGCGCCAGGATATCGCTCCCCCCTGGATCGAGAAGCAACAAGAGCTGTCCAAGGCGGCAAGGGTGTTCCGCGAGCGGCTGCGAAACGACTGGAAACGTCATGCGGCAAGGATGATTGCCTCCCACGGTGGCTCGCTGGAGCAGCAGATGAAGAGGGCGCAGGACCACGCCGCAGCGGAGCAGTTGCATAACCCGCGGCAGATGGCCGTCGAGCAAATCGCTGTGCCATCAAACTCGACAGATCACCCCGTCATGGCCAAACTACGGGAACGGGCCCCAGTGATAGGCGAGGAGCTGCAGATCGCGGAAGAGCATGTCCCGCGCGACGCGCCATTGCCGCCACCCTTTCGCGATGCTGATTGGGAGCGGGCCGAGGCGGGGTACATGAAGCTGTCCATCGACAACTTGAACAGCATTGCGAGGAGTTACAATCTGATGGCACCTGATCTCGCCAAAAAGCCATACTTCTCCTTGCAGCGCGAGCTGGCGGCGTGTTACGCAGATGTAGCTCCGCTGCTTGCTGAGGAGATCAAGCAGAGAGCAGTAGGGAGGTCGACGACTGCGACGACGAGGATTGCGACGTCTGGTGGAGGCGGCTTCATGGGCCAGCTGGCTGGGCGGGACGCGGTCAAGATTCACCTTGAGGCAGACGAGAAGGCGTACGGCTTGAAGGAATGGTGGCGGGACTTCTGGAAGAAAGAATAGGCAACCTGTCAAGGAACTGCCAGGGGTACGTTAGAATTCATGATGAGCTTCTTGACTCCATGTAGCAGCCACCGGAGACATGTATGCGCCAATCAACGATCGACGGTCAATAGCCGAAGACTCGCAAGTCAATATTGCGGCAAAGGCTTAGCTGGGAATGCTTGACTGCCTTCGGCTAACTGGGTGTTTATATCGCCAAAGCGCGAAGCAAAACGTGCCAGTGCCCATGACTCAAACCAGGGTGTCATCGCCTCGGGTGGTGCCGGAGACACTAGAGAGGGTTGCAGCCTAACATGTGTGCATAATGTCTAATGCTCCACGTGCGGCGTAGATATTACGCAGCATGTTCGTGGACGCCATCGTTGGACGGTAGCCAAGGACATGGCAAGCTGGGGTAGTGGGTAATGGGTATGCCTGTGTCAAAGAGCGGGCTTTGTTCCCCACGCGCGATGCCACGCCGGTGGAAGGGTTGCATGCGGGGAGCTGTTCATCACAAGGCTGCCAAGGTAGAAATTTCGATTGTTGTTTCGAGGTCCGGATTCCTTGCCGTCAACTGGGTCGTGGAGTACGTATAAGTTGGCGCACCCCGGGCCAGCCACGTTGCGAAGCGCCGTTGGTGTTGGCCAGATGCAGCCTGCAGAAGTCTCGACCGCCCCGGCAGTCGCTCGTTTGCCCGAGGCCATGGTCGGTTGTTCCAAGCTCACCGGCCAGGGTGGGCAGCCTCAATTCCTCATAACGGTAAACGGCGGCGGCGAGGTGGCTTGGGGGCTGACCTCGGACTGGTTAGCTCCGGCGAGCTTCCTGGCGAAACAGGGCCCTTTTGGGGCAGAGGAGCAATTGATTTTTCTGCAGTGCCTGGAGCATGACGCCGCAGAACCCCCAGAAGCGGGATGTTCTGTCACGGGGACGAGATCCTTCCATGCAGGTTGGATCCGGGGGAGCTGAGACACCTGGGGAACCCACGATGCGACGAAAGTCCGGGGTAAAGACTGGCTGCTCTCCACATGGGGACCGACGGCGAGACGCGGCGGGCCGACTGACGATGGGCTGGGGTCGTGGGCGCGCGGGGACGCGGCTTGTGTTCAGTCGCGGCTATTGAGACGGATTTGGAGATGGGAATGCCGAACATGTGGCAAGGGCTTGGGTAGAGACGTTTTTCTGCGATTGTCGAAGAACCAGACGGCAGGAGCATTGCGTGCTGCGCTCCTGCCCGGGTTCGCCCCGTCTTCATCCCGTGCGGATTTGCGCTGGACCACGCTCCTTCCTTCGGAAGACATGAGGCCAGTGACCAGCCGGAGTGTTGCTCCCCGCGTTCAGAACTCACACGCAAGTTTCCAATATTCTCCCATCCTTGAAGGTGTCGCGCATCACATGGCTTCCCCCGCTGCCTGTCGGCATTCAGGCAAGACGACCAACAGCCAGGCTTTCAATGCACACCTCGGTCTGGCGGCTCCAACGAGGCAAGCACCAGGCAGGTTGCAACCTCCC